ATCGATCCAACCATAGAACCAGGATTTCATTCCGTTCGAAGCTGCGACAGCGGAAGTGGACCCGATCCCCTTGCCAAAATTGTTCACCAGATTGCCGAATTTCAGGTTGTAACTATGAAGACCTCCATGGCCTTGCGGGATGCTTCCGACACCTGACATGTTGAATGCATGACAACTGCCCTGCAGGCGGGACTACTCCATGGGCTTGACAGGGATGTCCGACAAGCTCAAGCAGCGGACTCGGCATACGACAAAACAGGATTGCCCCTCCATATCTTTTTGTCTGCAGCATGCGGATGCATATCGAAAACAGCAACAACCTCATTCTCAGATCCGATGCTCTGGGCCCAGACCTTAACTCAGTGGTGCAGTAGGTACCTTTGCAATGGTTTGTGTATGTACGATGTAGCTTTTGGCCAGGCAAACAATCAGCAACAAAGTGCCTCTCAAACCTGCAAGGTTTCTGTAAGTTTCAAGGCCAAGGCTTGCTGGCCTTTGGGGGATGCACCTACGACCTACGACTGCACGTGGTTTGTTTGTATTTTTGCTTTTAAGCTTAGAGTTAAGCACATGGTGACACTAGCGGAAAAGGCTTAGAACCCTGCCCCAACAAGCGGTGCACCTAAAACCCAAATCTCCACGCTGGGCCCTTTTCCGACGCCCGTGCGAGACTTCTTCGGTACTCCACAGATGCCAATCATCTTGTGTGACCACCAAGACTTCCGAACTCGAAGCCGCGCCGCGACGCGCCGCGTCTTTCAAGGCAGGCGACCGTGACCCGGGCCACCGGCTTGCTACCGAAGATCAAGGACCCTGGCTGGGCTTAGTCGGGGCTATTCTTTGGGTTTGGGGTTTTAGGGGTTAAGGGGTTTAGGGAAGACTTCAAGAGGCCTGGATGCAAAAGAGGGTTTAGGGAAAATGGCTTTCATGTAGGCTTTGGAGAAAATGTTTGTATCTAAGTTGAGGAAGTGCAGCTCCGGGGAGGGTTGACGACAATACCTCAGGCACTCTGGCTGTGGACACCTCCGTAGCCCCCATGCTCTCAGGATCATTGTAGGGGCAGGTTCTGAACCAGCAGTCTGCATTACTTTGATCTATCTTGAACAAGGAACCTAGGCATTTCTTTCAGTTGCTTTGACTGAGATAGGGTGCGGCGGTTTAGAACCGTTAGCTACACCAGTGCCTTTTTCCCAGCGCTGGATCTGACAATGTGTTTTGGGTCCAAACATGACCCCCCGAGCCACCATTGACGGTCCCTTCTTCTCTCCACAGGGCCCGAAGCCGCAGCATGCCCAAGAAGACCGACTACGCAAGAAAGCCTTACTTTCTATCGGAGGTTGCATCCTAATCCCGAGCAGAGGCCCCAATGCGACGGCACGTTTTGGTTGAGATGTCAACTCCCAGTCGGAGCTGCTGTGCGGAACATTAAGGCTACTCCACAACGGCTGCCTTGAATAGTTTGCAACCCCGGCAAGCCGCAGTCCACGAAGCCCTCTCAGAACCCTCCAATCCCAAAAAGCCCAGTTCAGCTTGCCTTGCGACAGCCCAAAGATGCCGTCTGGGCAACCCCGGAATCCCTGCAGGATGCGCAGAAGCGGGAAGTGTCGGTAGAGAAGCACGTGCACCACGACACCTGGTTCGGCTTGGGAGCCCAGCTCGGGACGGCCGGAAGTATTAAGATCTAGATTCGATGTGGGCTTGAATCTGGAAGCCTAAGTTTTTGTAGAGATCATACGGATTATACACCCAAAGATTCAAGGCGATAAGAAGCACACCTCTGCCCTGACTACTCCAGAAGGTACGTGCGTGAGAGAGAGGGGTAGGTTCTGTAGGATCGAGCGCGGCTTGTGGGGTACGTGGGCTTTCGGGCGAAGGGGTTGTCCGCAGCCCCTACACCCCGTGCAAGCAAGCAAGCAAGCAGAACCTTAGAGGGTTTAGCGCCTTCGGTGGTTCCTTGATTTATGCGGAGTCAATGTTGCTATGAGCACTGTTCAAGTTCTAGAAAAAAGGACCTTTTCAGTTGGAACAAGGATTTGGGGGGTTGTGCGTCATGCAGGACTTTATCTACGGATTATGAAGGGCAGCTGTTTCTCAGGGTTGCATTAAATGCCCCTACGTATTGGACAACAGCCGATAGCTTGCCAAAGAAGCCAAGTAGCGGTTTCCTAAAACTCGGTGTGTCCCGATGTCGGGGTCCTCGTACGAAACATCCCGTTGTAATCTGGAAATTTCTACCAAGGGCATTCGTTCTCTCAAACTTCCACGTAGACGGGCTCGTAGCTCCAGGAGGTGGTTACAGCCACGAGAATGTAAAATGTAAGACTGGGAAGAGCGACATGGCTCTTGGTTTCCCATCCCGTTTTTCTGGTTTGGGTTTTTTCGTCCGGCGAAGCCGAGGTCCAAAAAGCGAAGTTCAGAGACTGAGCTGCAAAGTGCAGCTTTTTGTGAATCTACGGCTTGCATCGCCCGGTCGCGTTCAACGTCGGGTTGCAGAAGTCGGCAATCGTAGTGGCCATACCTGCTTTGTGCCGTATTGAACAGACTTCTCAACAAGAGCCGCCGTGTTACTCCTTCGCGACTGGGGATTGAGACCGGCACACACGACAACGCGGCAGAGCTGAGGACAGTATCTCACTGCAAGACCGGGGAGCTGTACTATTTGGACCCGGATTTCGCACCTGCCAGGGGGCGGGTGTTGTTGTACCTCCTGTGCCTGCAGGGGATATACGCTGGTCCGAGCAGGTCATGTCTTCGGAAGTTCATCTGCTGATTTGGCATTTAACTCGAAAAGCACGGTTGGGGTCATGGCAGTCGTGTTTCACGGTGGGCCTGCCCAGAGGGCTTTACTACGCAGAACTGAGGTAGTCGGGCTAAGGCCAGTATGCAGTAGTACTTGTAACTTAGCATCTAGGGAAGTATGTGATCGCTAGATAATGCTAGTCACTGCCGCTCAGCTATTTGGCACCTTAGGCGCGAATCGTGAGAGTCTTAACCTGGCTCTGTTCAGATTTTCGGTTGCAAACAGCTGTGGTGCACACGGGGTCCTTTTCGGGTCTAGGTGTGCGGGAGGTGGTACATAGCTCAGGGTTTAGAGCGGGGTCGAGGGTCTGAGAGGGGGTGCCCTGTCTGAATCTGAAGCATGCATGTCGTTCTCGATGCGTTACAGGACACGATGACGATGCGGATCCGACAGTGTCCTGTTGAAAGGCAGATGCAGCAGCTGGGCCTTGGATTTAGAGTGGGGCAGCGAGTCACATAATCTTGTTCGCTCATGGTCAGAGATATCGCCCTTGTAACACAAGTCTTCTATTCATGAGGCGAGGTAGAGAGCCCTGAGCTTTCTTGGCCATGTGCAACCCGGAAGAACAATTTTCTTAATGTAGGGAGCATTCAGCGACCTATGAATCTCCTTGTAAACGCTGCGACGGCTCCATAGGACTGACATGTTCGATTTCCTGCTTTTGGTTTCCGCAGAGAGAACCGTGTCGAGATGATTGCATAAGTTCCCGCGACAGGTTTCCCAAGCCGGTCAAAGGTCCTAATGCAGGGACCTTCATAATTGCCTATACTATTTTTTGGGGGGCTTCCTTGTTGTATTTATAGTATAATGTGCCCCAAAACCCTCTATTCTGTGTGTTTGGGAGGCAGCCTTCAGTCGAAAAGGGATCCCGTCGACAAATTCCTGGGCTCTTGTCTTTAGAAGTTTAATTTAGATAAAAATTTAAGAATAAGGATCTATGGAAAATAATGTGGTCCATATGGTTTCCGTATTATGGCAATTTAAATTAAATCCCTGAACAAGAACCGAGATTATGAACCTGCCAGAAACTCAGGAATTTCCGACGGAGGTCCTCCGTCCTGGACCTCAATGCTTAGTGATACCGACGCCAGGAGACAGAGTCTTTCGATGCCTCTCGTCGTGCAAGTTTCTTTTTTGGGAGCTACCGTGGTCCTCAAGCGGGAGAGGCTGAGCAAGCCTTTTTGCAGAATGAGTCATGAAATGCCATATGTCACATGGGTAGCTGTCAAAATTATGGTCCCTATTATAATACGGCACCTAATATTTAGGGTGCCCTACAAGGGACCCTAATTCTGACAACCACGAATAAGTTAAGCCAGATATATGTAAGAGACCCAAGCCGAGGCGCTAGAGTGGCTCATGACCGATTGCAATGCTTGGCGTCAGGATTGAGGGGTGGAGGGCGACAGCCCGGACAGAAGATTGAGAGAGAGAGAGAGGGAGACGGAGAGCTACAAGCAGAATCAGCCAGACCGGACAGAGGCAGAGGCGCAAAGGGGTTAGGTAAAACTTTTTGCAGAGAAAGGCATACAGTTCTGTGTGGCAGAAACGTGTCGCAGCAGTTTACCAGAAACCGAGGAGCATTGAAATCACATCAGACGTAGGAGGACATGGTAGCATCCTTTGGGTTAAGGCTGCCTAAGGCTCCCTTTGCCTTCTTCGGGAAGGTGGGGCTGTTCTAGATTCTTGTTCCCCGTGAGGCATCGCACCCAAAGGAGTGGAGTAGATTGCGCGGGGAAGAACGCAGAACAGCCCCCAAATTATTTGTTGGTGAGGTTCTAATAATTGGAGGTTCTTGAAATCAAGAATCAGAGAACGCTTTGTTCCCGCCACAAGCTACGGCTTTTCGAGAAACTCCCCTAGCAGAGTTGCATCGTTAGGTTGGCCGCATTTTCAAGAATTGCGGTTGGTTTTGCAGGTGTGCTCGTGCACCACCAGAAATGGATAGTTTGCACGCAGCCTGTCAAAAAGGCAGCTGACCCCGTCACCGTAGAGCCATATGTATGAACTTCGTGGACTGCGCAGTGGAGCATTCAGCCTTGCAGGCGCTTGAGAAGCCTGCTGCCTGAATGTCGAGTACGCTTTTGGGTTTAGGGGCCAACAATCCAAAATTGAAGCTTGGCTGTCGGAATCGTCACTGATGCCACCCGTGCTCGCAGGTTGACGTGTAGAAGTTAAGAGCTCTAAAAAGGGCCAGAAAATGCCGGCACCGTCGCTGTTGGCACATCTAGATGCCTCGAAGGACGGCTCGGGGCGGGGGCTTGGGAAGCAGGGATTTCATCAAGTTCCAGTCCTGCACTTCGGTGCCTCAAACAAAGCAGGACTCGCAGACAACATACCTAGCGTTTGCGGATCCACTGCTTCAAGACTTGACGCAGATTCTGAGTCTGAGGATTGAAGTTTCTGGGGTTGTAGCTGGTGAAGCCAAGTAATCAAACTTCCATGCCGAACAAAGCTGCCAGCCTGAAACGACAAACAATGGAGCTTCCGAACGAAATCAATGCACAGCAGACCGTGCCATAATAAAGTGGCAAGACGGCAGAAATACTCATTGCAATGATAATGTAACGACTCCTCACTATCTTAGAAGACGACTACTACTGCCACTGCTATTACAGCTACTGCTGCTGCTGCTACTGCTACCGCAGCAACGACTACTCCGACCACTACCACAACGATTACTCTTGCTCCCACTGCTACGCCTGCTGCTGCAGCTACAAGCAATAATACTACTGCTTCTGCTGCTAGTGCAACAACTACTACTACTACTACTACTACTACTACTACTACTACTACTACTACTACTACTACTACTACTACTACTACTACTGCTCATTCTTGGACCCAGAATATTGTGGAGTGAATCTTTTGTGAGATACTATAACGGTAAAGAACTATAGTGGTTTTAAACATCAACATCGTCATCATGGGCATCTTCGCGCCCGCAGGACTCTACCGCCTTGTCCCTGGCGTATGCTTCCGTTGGTGACGATGGCTGCACTGCCATCGCACGCTACATGCGGGAGAATGTACGGGCCTTGACATAGCCTAGCAAGTGTGTCTACTCTCGGTGTATGTGACATTTCTTGCGATTCAACTTAGGTTGTGGTAAAACCTCATTTTAGCATCACCAAGTGAGATTAGTCTGGATTCTCTCATTATTGCTGTCCTTCTTGTCTTGCTTCACCGAGGTTTGCAGATGATGCTTGTAGGTGGAAGTGTTGAGCATCCTGACTTTGAGATAAAATGTGTGCCGTCTCGCCAAGTTCGGCGCCAGAGTGCGCAGCAAGCTAAGTGTGGGTTTTTGGTGTTGTCTTTCCAACTCTCGGAGTTCTGTTGAATCTTGACGGTTCTGTGCCTGGTGAGCCTTTGTACTTCTCTCGGGCTCCAGGTATCAAAGGCTTTCTGGATTTTGCATTCTTTCTGGTCTGGAGTCGGAGAAAGGAAGCAGTGGGACTTTCAATTCTCTCGCCCTTCAGGTTCCTGCTTTTGCTGCCTTGCAAGCCTTGCACTTTCGGTTCTAAAGTATTGAATATAGGTGCTCACAGAACTGAACCTTAACCGCCCGCCGACGGGAGCCGTTTCGCAGCTCGTGGGTTGTGTTTCAATTGGGAAATTTCAACGGAAAGGATATTTGGGGTTGTGTCTCCAGTGCCGAGGTCATGCTACGGACCTTAGACCTGCGAGGCAACAATATCAGCACCTTGGCCTCAAGAACAACCCGTCCGCCAGCCCGCTGCCACTGATGATTGACAGCAGCCCACATGACTCGCTCCTTGGTGATGGTGTCTATGACGATGACGATGAGACAACTTTGATCTATCATGATGCTGCTGCGACGGGCGGAGCACCTGCGACAACTGTGCAACGATTCAGGGTTTGGTAGTGGAATTGTCACATATGTGATAGCAGCAGCAGCAGTAGTAGTAGCAGGAGGCGGAGGCAGAGGAGGAGACGGAGGATCAGGAAGACGAGCAGCCGCAGTAGTGGAACAGTCATGTGTTGCAGTAGTGGTCGTCGTCACCGGCGGAGCATCAGCACGAGCTACAGCGGCGCCAGCGGCAGCAGCTTAATAACACACAAGTTTACAGACAAGAATTGCAAAAGGTGTTGTCGGTGGATACAGTATGCAGAACCCGCCACCGACTGTAATTGCCGTGATGAAGATGATCATGGTTATAAGGAGACTAAAGAGTATGAAGATGACTATGAATGAGACCACGAATGTAACTCACAAGAGTTTGAAAAGTCACCGGTGGGTGGTGCGATGGAAAACAAGGGAGTGGAGGATGCAGGAGCCGAGCAGCAGACAGAGCCCGTGGACACACGCCAACTGAATCGCCAGGGCTGTTGGTGGTCAAAGCTTTTTGCAGTTTTTTTTGTTTGCAGCTTGATTTGTGATTGATGTTTGAAGGCTTGTAGATCCTAGGTTTTAGGCTCCAGGGTGTGAGGGCTTTTTGGCGGAGGCTTGTGAGCTACGAGTCTCGGGCTTCTGGGAGTTAGAGCTTGGCAGAAATCGCACCATAGACGCCCCTGGACTTGAGCTTTAGGGCCTCGGTAGGATTGGAGGGTGCTTCTTCAACACGAGGAATAGAATATGTTCAACAAGACCAAGAGCCATGACAGTAGTAGAGGTGGTGACAAGGCCAGATCCTACGCGCAAAAACCTGATAGGAAGCCATGAGCTGGGGCTTGAGAATTCAGGATTTCAGAGTTTTCAGTTGCAAGGCTTGTGTGGTCCGTGGTGTGGGCACGGCAGAAAACCAGACCCAAACCGCTTAGTACACCCTCCAACTTGCCCCCCCAAAAGGCTGCAAGAACCGACACATCGATGAAGCCTTTCACCCTCAGGAGCCGATGGTCTCGTGGTCTTGGCGCATGGGCTTCGTACAGGTTCCGGGTTTTGGAATCAGTTGATGTGCACCGGAATACATGATATTTCTCTTTTTCTGCGCAAGCTCCTGGTACTTCGTGTACGTCTAAGCATATGTGTTTGTTGTTTGCTTGTGTGCATATGCTATTTCCTCAGCATTCGAGCTGGTCTTTATCCTCGGTGATACGCATCATGTGCATACGACGTAGGTCCGATGTATCATACCCACACACACACATGTCACACGCCGCAGGCCGAGTCTCTCAGAGAGCGAGAGAGAGAGAGAGAGACAGACAGATACAGAGAGAGAGTTAGTTTTACAATGGAGTGCGTTTCGGTAATGCAACCATCGCGAACCTTCACTCCCCTCTAAAAGTCCGTACAAGGGGGGCGGGCCTGAGTGCCCGGGGGGCTCAACTCGCCCCTTAAGCCTGGGAGAAGAAGAGAGGAAGAGAGAGAGAGAGAGAGACAGATACAGAGAGAGAGTTAGTTTTACAATGGAGTGCGTTTCGGTAATGCAACCATCGCGAACCTTCACTCCCCTCTAAAAGCCCGTACAAGGGGGGCGGGCCTGAGTGCCCGGGGGGCTCAACTCGCCCCTTAAGCCTGGGAGAAGAAGAGAGGAAGAGAGAGAGAGAGAGAGAGAGAGACAGATACAGAGAGAGAGTTAGTTTTACAATGGAGTGCGTTTCGGTAATGCAACCATCGCGAACCTTCACTCCCCTCTAAAAGCCCGTACAAGGGGGGCGGGCCTGAGTGCCCGGGGGGCTCAACTCGCCCCTTAAGCCTGGGAGAAGAAGAGAGGAAGAGAGAGAGAGAGAGAGAGAGACAGATACAGAGAGAGAGTTAGTTTTACAATGGAGTGCGTTTCGGTAATGCAACCATCGCGAACCACCTTCACTCCCCTCTAAAAGCCCGTACAAGGGGGGCGGGCCAAAAAGTGCCCGGGGGGCTCAACTCGCCCCTTAAGCCTGGGAGAAGAAGAGAGGAAGAGAGAGAGAGAGAGAGAGAGAGAGAGAGAGCGGGGGGTCCATGTGTGTGTCTTGGTTGTTGAGTCCCTGTCGGCTGGTGCGAAGTCGGCGACTGAGAAGCAGAGCCTTCTGCACTTGGAGCTTCGATCAACCCCAAGACGTAGATTACTATGGGGTTTTGGGAAAATCGGAGGTTACCATATTCAGGGCAACCTTAGCAGTTCTCACAAAGAGGGATGCTACTACTTTGGGGTCTACATACTTGTTGTCTGAAAGCCGTGCAGGCGGTGGCAACATGACGAGTGTGCGAAGCTCAGGACTCTTTCATCGCACCTTTCGCGGAAGCGAGGATGGGTTTACGGAAGTTTACAGCCTGCGGATTCCTTGTAGCCTTATTACAGATTCATAGTTCACGATTGTCTTCACGACCGTCTAGCCCAATGCAGGCAAGGAAGCATTCAGATCACGCGCCTATTTCGTAAACCCTCTCTTTGAGCAAGAGACTGCAAATATCAATTGTTGGCCTGTCCAACAAGGTGTGCTTCAAGTGGAACCAGATTGGAAGCCGCTTGGACTCAACACCTTGATTCCCTGATTCTAGGAAAGCTAGCAGATCTGTCTGCCATGTTTCTTGTTTCGGGAGAATGAAAAATCCCCTGTAAACGGGCGCTACTGTAGTCGCAGCGCTTGTGGTCTTCTCTACGGCTTACGCAACCAGCGTTCAGGGTTGGATGGTGTCCGTGATGATTGTATTTGTTGCATATCCTCACTTGGAGCCTGAAGTTCTGAAGCAGGCGCGCAGGGGCCGAAAGAGAGATGTGCTGGCTTTTAGTGTATCCAGGAGCACCGGCTGAGGGTGTCTGCCCCTGGGCCGCGTGGGTTCAGGATTCACAGCAGTCATAGCGCTTAGAAAATTGACTTGAGGCACTGGACTTAACCTAGGAGTCTTGAAAGCATTTAAGACTCAATTGCAATGCCCTGTCCTGAAACCCTCAAAGCCTGAAATACTCCGCGAAATACTCGACGTGTTGCAGTTCACCCTGTAGGATCCTCGGAATGCAGGAGTGTGTCAACTCCATCTCCCGAGTCCGGGGGGAGCATTCGAAGACTACTGAGCACGACGACACAAAGCCAAAACCAAAACAAAAGTCGAAACCTGACCCACAATCGATGTAAAAGCCCCAAAGCCAAAGGACCAGTAGCTATGGCTTCTCAGGTCACCCAAGAGGCATTCAGGCATTCTGCGACGTGCTGAAGGTTGCGAAGCAGCAATTGCAGCGAGTAGCCTTCGGGGTTCCGCATGGTTCCGTGTCTTTCTCGAGGCCTGTGCCCTCTGCTCCCGGCTGCATCCATTGCTCGAATAAAGACAGGGGAGTTTCCGAAAATAGGGGTACCTTATTTTGGGGTCCTTACAATAAGGATCCTACTATTAAGGGTATTATATTAGGGTCCCCAATTTTCGGAAACTCCCACAGCATGTCACGCGTTATGGCTCGGAAGACCAAGTGTTTTGCCCGCTGGTCCGTCCATACGCAGAGAGTCTGAAATCTAAGAGCTCTACCCTGGACCCTCACCCAGGAAAATCAGTCCATCACGCACGTCGATTTGCGGTCGCTGAGCCGCAGACGTTCTGATCCTTCGGACCTATCTCACAACTTGGCCTAGGGCTGCGCATTTGGAGGTCAACCCCCACAATTGAAACTACTTTTGGGGAGCTGGTCCTTTCGTTGGTAGAGCTTCCCTCAGTATAGACGATGGAGCTTGCTGAAAGCCATCTTATCGTCCCTAAACCCTAAACCCCTAAACCCTAAACCCTAGTCGTCGTGCCTTTAGCACATCTCTCACCGAATCCTGGGGATGCTCGTCCTCTGCTCTTGGGCACACAGAAGACACGCTCGGAAGAGCTTAGAGATTTAGGGTTTAGGGTTTAGGGTTTAGGGTTTAGGGCTTAGGGTTTAGGGTTTAGGGCTTAGGGTTTAGGGTTTAGGGTTTAGGGTTTAGGGTTTAGGGTTTAGGGCTTAGGGTTTAGGGTTTAGGGTTTAGGGTTTAGGGTTTAGGGCTTAGGGTTTAGGGTTTAGGGTTTAGGGTTTAGGGCTTAGGGTTTAGGGTTTAGGGTTTAGGGTCCATCTCTGAGAAGTCTGCCTCTCCGAGGAATAACAAGATTGGCACGGATTGCGGACCATTCCTGGGCGACATGCTCCGAGAAAATTGCTCCTGGGTGACATCACAAATTTCTCTGCCCTGATCTGTTTGGTAAACTTTACATGCAATACATAATTTTAACCCCAGATTCGCAGCCAGAAAACGCTTCCCCCAGGCTCAGTTTAGCTCCCCGCGTGGCAAGAAGCTGACTCTCACAACACCGAAGTTGCAAAACAGGATGCCACAGAACATTCAGAACCGCAGTGATGCAAACACGCGGAAACCGGTAATGTTTGTCTGTGGAAGTGCCTGAAAGCCAGATCTATTGCACGAAGCTGTCGTCAGCTGTTGAGTTTGCGGGAGCATTGTGGAAGGTTCAGACAATGAGAGAAGCTAGTCCCACCCCTCAACTGCTGGATCTACCCCGTATGTAACTTCAGGCAACCCCCAAATTAAAGCCCATCTGAGGCACCTTGACGCACCTGGACCTTAGCTGGAACGACCTCGGAGTGGAGGGCGGAAAGGCCCTCTTGGACGGCCTTCAGGCAGGTGTTTGGGAGCTTGCTTTGAGGAGCGAGAATCATGCGTGATCAGCGTGATGAGATTTGAGAGCGTTGAGAATGACCGTGATGTTCGCAATGATGATGATGATGATGATGATGCTAGACGCTGTGATGGTGATACTGACGAGAATGAGTATGGTTACGACAGTCAGTAGTGGTGGTGCTCTGGTATCTTTGGCTAGCCGCTAACGTAAAAGAAAGTGTTCTGTGTGTGGCGTGGCAGTCAGACCCCAAGCCCTAGTCATTCTAAGTTGTTGGCCTTGCACACGGAACTGTATAACCTTTTCGTCTTGCCTTGGGCTACTGTCTAGTGTGATCACTCATCACTGTGTGCTGTCAGCCGCGCACGTCAATCTACAAACGCTGAATTTCCAACAAAATTTCCAAAACCAACAGTGTGCACACCTTGGCGCTCCAGACAGGTTGCTGCACAACATGAGCCAATTTTTATGGCCTGCATCAGGAAGTACAGACTCGTGTTGTTCCTGCACGGCTTGTACACTCCCATGTCTGCACCGTTCCACCGTCATTGTGCCTCATTCCCTCAGCTCTGCCATGCAGGTCTTGGAAACTAGAAATCAATAATCTGAAATCCCCCAAAACCGTAAAACAAAGTCTCTTAACCGCGGAACCGAAAGCGAAGCCCCCGGAGCACTTTCAATCACAGGCCAACCACTCATTGATCGATTGCCAGCTTAGCGGCAACCGCTTGGCCGAGGTCTATTGGCGAACAGCTGGGGTTCGTGTTTAAGCTTCCGGACGATTTGAAGGTCTTGCATGGTCTCACAGAGGTAGTAGTCCGAGTAGCAGTGTCGTCGTCGTCGTGGCAGCAATGTCCCAGTGGGGCGCAGAATATCATGTGTGGAGTTGAAGTTTTGTAGGTTTAGGACTTCGGGTGTCAGGCTTGTTTGATTTGGTTTATGGTCAGCCCTTTGTTACCACAGCATGCTCCTAAACGTCGTCACAGCCACAACCGACTGTCGTCGACTGCCAGGGTCGTCGACATGGTCGCATAGTTGTCATTTGCTGGTGGTTGCAGTAAGAACACGCGCAGCAAAACAAGACTCATTCCGAACTTGCCCAACACTTTCTCACAAGCACAAGGTAGCGCATTCAAGAAGGGCTTTCAATCGGCAGAATTAGCTCAACTAAATCTGAGCCCCGCAAAGCATCGGAGTGTTGCCAGCCTTGCATACCGGTGCAGTTGCTGAGCACAGAGATATTCGAGCCACAGCAACCTTGGCAAAGGGGATCAGTAGCAGATTAGAACCCTTAAACTTCATGTAAGTATACAGAAGCTACTAAATCATAAATCCTAAACCCCAAACCCTTTGGAACCTTGAACCCTACAAAGCAAACCCTGCTAGGACAGTCCCTAAAAGCTCCTATCACAAACTACAAGTATGAACTACGTCCCCCATATTTCCTGCTTCAACAGGATACTTTGCATGCCATTGCTTTCATCCTCCGAAGAAATCGGCAGACGGCGCCCATGGGAGCCAGGGCCTCAGTTCCCGCAGAGTCGGTTTCTTGGGTTGTCGTGGTTCTAGGTTTCGGTTTTGGGATTAGATTGGACTCTTCGGTCCTTGGATGTGAACAGCAATCAACAAGAGATGCATCGTAAGGATTCAGGCCAGGCTCTTGCCATATGAGGTCAACGAATTGCTGCAGTGTCAATCTGAGCAACCGATAGATGAATACGAAGCTAACAGGTAGATGGAGCAGCAGCGGAACAAGAGCAAGAGCACGGGTCTAGGATGGGCCAGCCTTCAGCACGTCAACCAAACAATTGTTCTTTTGCTTCAGCCATTGCAGAACTCAGGCGAGCACTTTCCGGCAGGAGCGTGCGATGTCACCTTCGCAGGACGTTCTGGTCTCACTTTCACCTTCACCCTTATGCGTCAGCCCCTGACCTGAGCTTTAGCCCCAAAAGCGAGCAGCAAAACTGCAGATAAGGGAGTTCAGAGAGTTTAATTCTCCCGTGGTGTGTCTCCAATGAGTGCAAGGTTCTATAATCTTGGAACCTGTGAAGCCTCGCTTGGAGAGTTCCGGAGTCAGTGCTGCAAGCCTGACGGCGGAAGGACAAGCAAAAGTTTGGTAGCAGGTGCAAGACTAGCGATGCCCACCATGTCTGGGAAAGCTGCTGATGCCTAAACCGAACGAAAACTACTAGCAGTGACTAGCATTAGCAACGAAATGCTGACGTCAGCAGGCTCACCAGGCATCCAGTAGGATCCGAAGTTGGGCTTCTGGAGGCATTTGCAGCACAAGGGGAGTATCAGCATCTCAACAGGAGCACCGGAGTCGGTTTTTCCTGGCATCGAACTGGCCGAGACCCCCGAGTACCAATCCCTCAGCCGCCCAGAGCGCTTGAAACCTGGACCCCTGATGTAACATAGGGGCCTCTTTCAATAATAATATGAAAATAAAAACCTATTTTTCCTATTAAGGCCCCTGCAACAAATAGACGTTCTGGCCGTGTGGCCCCGCAAGCCGCAAAGAAAGCCACAAAGAACTGAAGATTCCTTAGCCTTCTAAGAAAATGAGCAAGCCTCAAAGCCGACAGCCACTAAACACCCCGAACACTTAAACCCCGAACAGGTGCACTCCCTGCACCCTAAACCCCTTAAAAATCAGATGGAAAAGATGCTACCAAAAAATTTAAAATAGAACCTCGCAGAACTCAAGCCGGCTTGAAGAGCAATCGGGAACCCCCTTGCAGGATCCGGGCTCGCCCATGGGTTCGCCTATGTCCCCGATGTCTGCGCACGCTCCGACAACCCCGGCCTCGCCAGGTGCGGCCTTCTTTCACGTTACCTTTTCTTTACCTTTATTGTACCTTTTTTCAAGAGGGCTGTTTGGGCCGCCTGCTTCGGAACTGTCCTTCTGAGTTTAGGGTTGAGGGTAGGGGAGTCTTCTCTGTGTTTCTGTGGGCTGGCTCTTCTTGGAATGCTCTTGTTATATCATTGGGTAGAAGTTCTTCTGCTTCGGGAGCTTATGAGTATTACAATTCCAGCTTTACATGACGAACCGTGCTTTTGTCAGCGTTTGTGTTGTAGCCGTGTCTGTTGCTGTTTGCTATCAGTCATTCAGGCTAAAGCTCCTTCTCAGAGTCTTTGGATTAGCTAGGGTTTAGGGTTTAGGGTTTAGGGTTTAGGGTTTAGGGTTTAGGGAGTCATTGCATGGTTGGGCCGGGTTGGTGATTTTGCGCTTATGCGATGGACCTTTCCTCGTATTTGGATCGGGTCGGGAGTAGTGCTATTCCGTCCGTCTAGCCTAACCCCCAGTAAGGATCTATACTTTGATTCTTGTTCTGACAGCCTTTGTAGATTGAACATGACCATTGTTCACGGTGTCGGGCAAGAGTTGACAACAGTATTAAGTTCAGATTTCAATGAGTGGTGATGCAAAATAGGTGCACGTGCCTCGCAAATCAAAATCTTGGGCCGTGCTTCTCCTTTCCACGGAGCTGACTTGAGTGGAAAGCTTGATTTGCGTGAGATGCGAGCTCTAGTTTAGCACCTAAACCCTAAACCCTAAGCCCCTTCTGATTCCGGGCACAGGCTTCGGCAGCACCACGCCGGCCTCGCCTGGCTTTGGCACGACCGCGCCTTCGCTGCAAACGACAGCACAGCATGCTGGTGGCCATGGCAAGAACAGTGAGCATTATAGGTGTTATGATAGTTATTATTATTGTTATTATTGTTGTTGTTTTCTACTATTGTTATTATTACAGTATTGTTGTTATTACTGTAGTTTTTTGTTATTGTTGTATAGGAAGGATACGGTACCCTGAGCCCTAAACGAAGCCCGATGCCGTTGCTCCTCGACCCCCCATCACTCCAAAACACGGCCAGTCAACTTACCTTTGGTTAGTAGGGAATGGAAGAATGGTAGTAATTAATAGTGGTTATAATTGTATCCAAAGGTAAGTTAAGAGCTCAGGGGCGGTCGCTGAACATGACCATCGCCTCGGAGGCGCAAGAGCTGTCGAAGCATGGATCACGACAGTCAGAGCACCTGAACACCTGGGCCCTGACGGGTGCTGTCTCCTAATCGGTCATTATATGGGTTACTACAGCCACTCAACTCAGTCCTGCAAAGCCCGCTTCTGTCTGGAAGCATACAAGAAGAAGTAATTTTCGTCGTAGTAGTAGTAGTAGTAGTAGTAGTAGTACTAACGATAATCGTAGTCTGGGGGGAGAAACAGACAGGAAGAGACGTGCCTTCGGTTTACTTTCTCGGCTTCCTGAAACTTTAGAGGGCGGGGGGGTTTTGAGGTTTAGGCTCTATGGGCTTGGCACTTGAGGTTGCTGGGGTAGGGCTTTTTTGGGCTCATAGGGTTTCAACCTAAGGAATTGCAGGTGGCTTTAGGGTGAACGACCTAAGGCAGTTCCCTCTGTTTTGGGCGCCGACGACTTCGGAAGGCAAACCTTCTTCGCTGCCCTGCGTAACTTCTTGACACCGTGCTCCGCCTAAAACTTGTACTAACGACTTGGGCCTCTACTTTAAACTCCAACTCGTCTAGAACTTCTCTTCTTGGAGCCCTGATCACCCTTTTGGGCTCTGATCTCGCAGGTACTTGTGTAGTTAATTTTATGATTTTACAGCCCTGGACCCCGATCATCTAAAGCACTCATGCCCAACGACGTCATACCCGGTCATACCCAAAGTCCCGCATTTTTGCCCAGACCCGCCAGAGCTGCAACTGTTTCAGGGCGGAATGGGGCCGACGAGCCCCAAGGAGGGCCCGCCAACTACGAGCCTTCCGCCTCTGACTCCGGCCAAGGTGCCCTGAAGGGGCGGCTTACGGTAGGCTTTGTGCTACGGCTACAGGGGGGGAAGGGTTCGGGGCTTAGGGCCTCGTAGCTCAAGTGAATGCCCAGTCAGCGTTGAACAAGTACCGTCAAGTACAGTGGTCATCGTAGCATGTTCTCATTAAGCCGCATCCTAGTTTCCACAATGTTGGCACTAACTAACAAGCTCAGAAAAGGAGCAGGGGCAGCAGGAGCAGCAGCAGTCGCCAGAGTAAGAACCATTGCCAGGAGCGAAGCGCTGGCATTCATGCGACGACATGACGAACTTAAGGATGACAAAGCTGGTGATGACTGTAAAAAGCTCCAGTGCCTCTGAAGGCTGTCCCCACAGAAATGATGGAAACATAGGCTTCTTCAATTTTGCACCGAGGCCCCCTCGAAAGAAGCACCGAGGCCCCCTCGCCCCTACCCCGAGCTTCATTGGGAGTTTCCGAAAATAAGGGTTACCTTATTTGGGGGTCCTTAGAATAAGGATCCTACTATTTTGGGGTGCTCGGAAACTCCCTCATCTCCAGCCACTCTTGGAGGTTCAGCCTCCAGTGCACGACGAGGACCCTGCAGCGGCGGCTAAACCGGCTGTATTCATTTGCTATTGCCTCCACCGGTACTCTGACCTTGGGACGACTGCCCATGCGCCTGCGATTGCTGCTGCTGCTGCTGCTGCTGCTGCTGCTGCTCCTCATCCTCGTCCGATGCTGCCGCTGCTGCTACTACTACTATGCACTCCTTCTTCTTCCTATTACGACGACGATTCCAACATTGTCCCGATGGCTTCTGCCACCACATCAACGCCCCCTGCTATCATGTCAGATTAAGGCCCGATGCTCTGAAGTCTGACAAAGCCTGACCAATGTCCGAAATCTTGCCACGGTAGCAGACTTATATAGTTGAGCACCGGACCTGTAACAGCATGCCATAAACAAAAACAAAGACCTCCCAACCCAATCTTGGTGCCTGGGAGGAGCTGCACCTTGGCTGCAGAGGGATTCCGACTTGACTGATTGAACTGGGGTTCGAATCAGAGCAAGCGGAATTTAGGTATGTTGCTTGTTTCGCGTGGTTGCAACTGCGGTCACACATGCGGCATAGGTTGAAAGCACGTGTGTTTTTGCTCGTCCGCTTTAACGCCGGAGTAGGGTCGGGTGGAGTTAGGTCCCTCCATGACTCATGTCAGCACATAGGTAGTTCTGTGAATTGGAGTCTCTGGGGGGGGTCCTTTTTATATTGGTGCCGGCCTATTTTGCGAATCTAGAAAGGGATCCGAATGTCGAGCCACCCACATGCACAACACGAAATATCTCAGGACATTGAAGCTGCTCCAGAGAGAGCAGAACCATAGCAACGTCGAAGATGCTCGCTTCTTCGGCGAGGCTGTGCATCATAGTGTCACTGACCTCAGTATTGACAAGTTCCTCATAACGTAGTACTCATGTAACCAGCATTCAGAAACACCGTTCGCGAACATGGTGAATAGTAGATGTACAAGGACGTTGAAGAGCACGTGAGCGAAATCTGGGAGCGGAACCATCACAATCAAGACATGCGCTTCCTAGTTGCATTGCCTTTCAAGGAGATACAGAGCGAAGCTGCGCGATTTTGCATGTTGCAGTTTGTTCGGATGTCTTACGTACTCTCGCTCCTACTTGAAAGGTTTGCTTTTGCTGCAGAATTACGTTTTGGAATGTTCTCAGCCGACTTCGCTTTGCGGATGCAGGTGGCCGAGTACATTGATCTTCTTCAGCTTGATGTGGCGCGGAACAAGAAATATCGGATGGATGCCGAGGACTGGGAACAGGATTAGCTTCGACTCCCTTCGCTTGATCACAAACTTGCATGCTGATGCTGATGTCTTGAGGCGATAGCAAAGCGGGCGTACTGCAGATATGCCCAACACGGCAGGAACACCTGCATGCTAGACGCAACCGGGCTGCTTGTCCAGGAGCGCGAGCGTGTCGTGACCAAAGGCGCGGGATGCACGAAGCTTGTTCAAGCTTCGAGCTCCCCCCTCTTCATCTCCTATACAATGACAGCCATGAACGAAGCCTTTGGGTCTGGAGGGTTGTGCCCGGGCAGCTTGCAGGCTTCATGGAAAGGGAGATGCGCTATGCGCAGGAAATGCGAGAGCTCCGTGGCCGCATTCGCCGGACAGCACTTCGAGAGGGCATGTGCAGAGGGATTAGAGGTGAAACACGTCCTGACTCGTCGTCGTAGCAGTCGCAGTAGCAGCAGCAGGATGAGGAGAAGGAGGAGTAGCAGTGGTAACAGCAGTGCTTGTCTTGCAAGAGTTGTAGATTTGTTTTTGCTCAGTCGGCCCCAGTTCCACTGTCCCACGAGACCGAGTTCTGGGTGCTTGCAGTTACGCACGGTTGTTGGTCTTGTTCGAAGGGTTTTCAGGGGGCTGGCTAGGGTTTCTGATGGGTTTCATTGGTTGATGGGGTCCCTGTGGGTTTGCTAAGGGCGTTGTAGACGGTCTTATGCCATGGCTGCTGATGTAGTGGTTCTGACCACGGAGTATCGACAGAAGTTGTAGTGGAAGCTGGTTACACATGTACCATGTGTATTCCCCGCCAACTGCAGCAAAACCAGCATAAGCCCTGAAGCATAAATCCGGCATCTTGCGACCTGAAACCTCGTGTTATCAAACGGTAATGGCTAAGCGGCATTTTGGGATGCTAGTACTTAGTAATAGCATGCCTAGACCTAGCAATGCAGAAGGCAAAAGACCCCGAACCATCTACCCTAAGCCGCGAGGAGTGTGAGCGGCGAAACCGTGCGAGAGTGAGAGACGGAACCGCAAACCTGCAAACCCTCCACCCCGGTCTCTCTTTGATCCTGCCTTGAGGCTAGAAAACCTTCTGGCCAGGGCGAAAGCTGAGAAGGCGATCCGGTTCTCCACTTCTGGATGGTGATTGTTTCCTCTTATTGCAGCCCCTCAAAATGAGTAAGGCGATTAAGGCTGATACATTTGGGATTTACGATGCTTGTGCTTAGAAAGCTTAGGGGCTAGGGCCAGGGTCTTGGGATGATCGTGGCGGTTGCTTGTGTCCTTGATCATCAGGGCTGCTCGTGCGACAAGGTCAGCTGCTTCGCCGCGTTTCCGGATTTCATGCTGAATGCAGTCTTGCACCGCGGAATTGTGGCTCGAACAGAGCTCAGGCTCAGGCAAGAGCTGCAGAGGGCAGTAGGTTTACCAAGAGGTTTCAGGTTGACATTCCATCACAGCCCGTCTTGCCAACAAGTGTAGCCTCCTGAAACGGGCGTCCTAAACAGGACGTCTTGGTGAGCCATGAACTACCTGGCACGTTGCACGCAGCGTTTAGCAAGGAGCCTCCCCGGCTCGGCAGTCTCCGGAAGCCTTCCTTTGCAGGGCACCTCTACGGTTGGCTCCGCAACTCGGTGCGCAAGCGGGGTCGTCAGATGATGGAAGGCGATGTAGGCTTTCGAAAGCATCGGACACTCAGTCTTAGCTCATCCAGCTGCGATTTCCAGGTTCTGATTTCAGACACCTCGGACCACCTAGAGAAACCCTTCAAGACCTTTTTATAAGAACCCTTACACGATCCGTTCTTTGTAGAAACCCTTTTGGGGAACTTTTTTTCTTTTGGGGGAACTTGTTTCTTTCGGGGGAACTTTTTTTCTTTTGGGGACCTTGTTTCTTTCAGGGGAACTTTTTCTTTTGGGGGAACTTTTTTTCTTTCGGGGGAACTTTTTCCTTTGGGGGAACTTGTTTGAGGCCCCGAGCTTCTTCCAGAGCCTGGGACCCGCGGCTGGCGGCCAGCTGCCTCAGAGCAGCGCCAACTTCCAGCTGAGGAGTGCCAGGGCCTGGCTCCTTGGGCTCTGATAAAACTACATACATACATACATACATACATACATACTTACATATATATATATATATATACTAATATTATATACATACATACACACATACATACAAACACATAGGTGCATACATACATGCATGTGTTTCTTTTAGCTTTTGGGGCTTCAGGTTCAGTTGTTGTGGTTCTTGGGCCTTGGTGTTCTTGGGGCTTTGAGGGTTCAGAGTCTTCAGGTGTTTTGGGTTTCGTTTTGTTTGGGGCGTCAGGGCTCCTCGGGCCTTATGTCCGTTTATTGTTGGGCTTGTGGGTTGGGGATGGTTCTGCAGGCTTCCGCAGGCTTAAAGTTCAAAGTTTAGGCAGGGCAGGATGCTTTATGGGTCCGGCCTTTTTATAGGTGCCCTTGCTTGGTCATCGCTCCGCTGTCCCCTTGCGATTTGTCCATGCTGTGCGTTGTTAGTTCTTGGAGGGGGAGGAGGGTTAGGGTTAACGCGGCACAAGTTCTGGGTGCAGGACTATTATGACAGTGCCGGAAGCATCTTGTGAAACTCGCAACGTCCGGCTGAGACCTATACACTTTACCGGCACATCAGGACCCAAAAGTCCTTATATAGAACCTTTAAACCGCAGTTGAAACTTACTTAGGGTTTGGGTAATTGGCTCATTTGGTGGGCCCCTTGTCCAGGTAAAACTGGGCTTAGGGTCCAGAGTTTTGAGGGCATGAGAACTCGGTTTCGGCGAAAATGACGGTGCCCATCTAGGGTTTGGGGCATAAAAGGGTGTAACGTGCGAGGAATCAGACGATCTGGCGCTTCGGATGCGAAAGACGTTTTAAAATGGCTCGTAGCGACAGTGACGATCGTTATCGCGATAGTTAAGCAATGGCTCTGAAGCCGTTGTGAAGCCATCGATTTTCAGGAGCTGTAGGCTTCTTTGGATCAGGGGCTGGTGCTGGTGCATAGATACTACTGGCTACTGTAGGATCCTTGCAAATTGAAGTAGCCTGGTATATAGTCTGAGCCCAGGTTCGGATTTCCGCCGAAGCTTTCCACGACTCGCTACACTGGAATCCATTGTCATCCAGGTCGACCGTGGGGCTACCCGAATCCGACGAAGCGGCAGGGAAAGGTCCGCCGACTTCCCAACGTCCAGCTGAAGCGATGTGACTTCCGCATTTCGACCTCCAACGACGGGCAGTTCTACTTGCGGCCACCCTTTCCACCACGCATCAATCGCACCCTCGACGTCGAGGCTCCGGGCAAGGCGAAGAAGAATCCATGGCCCACACAGGTGCACAAGGATTACAAGCTCAAGTGGAAGAATATCGAGTATGTCTACGTGCCACAGTTGATGCGGAAACCTTTCGGTGGCCCCCACCAGCGTTGGGCCGGACCAGTAACCCGGGTTGAGCACCTCCAGAATGGCAAGACAAAGTCCGAACTTGTGACGCACGATGTCCGGCTCCTGAAGTGGTGATGCCTTCGAAGATCATGGAAAAGCGAGCAAAGAAAAAGAGAGCGAAGGGCGCAGTGGCAGGTCCGGCCCATCATGTCAGTCTGTTCAGGACGAGATTCTTCATGATGCCGATTATGTGCAGCACGAGATCGACAAAGTTCGCGCAGAGAAGTTCCACGCCTGCAAGACTGAGCGATGCCCCATCTGGAATGTGCACAAACGTGCTTCTGCAATAAGCCCGAAGTCAGTGTATTGGTAGAAAGGAAGTAAGGTTCCAGGTGAGGGATGTTCGAATCACTGTGGTCGGGTTTGCGGTCCTGACTGGAATAGACTACGATGGAAATAGAGACACCTTATATGAAACGGAACCCCAAGGTCCAAGACCGTCGATGACCGCAACAAGATGGAGGAAATCGCGCAGGCCACGGCAGACCCTTGGACGCATCCTAAGGCCCCCACACGACAGAAAGTCCGAAGTTAAGTGGTTTGACTTTCGGGAGCTTTCAAGTTGCATGGCCTCATCACAGGTCCTTTTCAAGCCGAATATTTGTCATGGAGACTGTATGGGCCGGTGCAGTAGTTGGACGCAGCCACGGGACGGGGGGAGAGAGAGAGCTTGACACGTCCGCGCACCTCACGTTACTAAATTCTTGCACACCCGAAACCCTTTCGAGGAGAAGAGCACTACACGAAATCCTAGCAACACTCGAGCAACAAAACCCAAGAAGAGTTCGCTTTTTGAGGATCGGCTCCGTGCGGACATTCGTGATGCCTTGACAATGAAGGCCGACTTGGCCCCTTGGCACCTAAGGGACTGTCAATGGTGTCAACCGATGCTAACATCTAGGAACCATTGGGTTTGCAGGTTTGGGGATGGCCGGCCTGATGTGGTTGAAGAGAGTGCTTCAACAACAACTATGGCCGTGCTTCTTCTTGCCACATAATCCGGAGGTTAACCATGGTACCAATCCTCATCACGGGACTTGAGCAGTCTTTGGCGGGTTCGGACTTGAGATTTCCAGCTGCAGAAGCACAGCCAAGGAGACTCAGATCTACAAGACGAAGAGGCAGGGCATACATACCATAGATACACCAATTCATGCAAACATTCCTGCATACATTCAGTCACGCACACATACAAACATGCGTGCATGCATTGGCACGAATATACATGTGTACTAGTTGGTTTCCTGTGTGGTGGGGGACAAAAAACTTGTATGCCTTTCATGGTGTGCGATTGGGGTTGAGGAGTCTCTGTTGGAATTGGTGACATTCCCAAACTTCAAGTCCCACGCCCAAAGAGATCGCTAAGTCACTACGTCCTAAAACCTAAGCCTGTAAACCTTAAATCCTAGCTTCTGCGACTTGTCTCCGAGGCGACAGCAAGAGCAGGAGGAGGAGAACGCCCGGCTCAGGACAATGTCTACGCAGCGTTCGATGTTTACGGTGTAGTTGGGGGCCTTACATTTTGATGTCAGCAGGTAGTTTTGTATCCCAATTAGCTTTCTAGTCTCACGGGTTTGCTCAAGTATCTCTAGCGTCACAGCCCAAGCAATACCTGATAGCTTGCTCACGCAAACCTGGCTCCATGTTCTCTTCTCTGCACCTTTTGGGAGGGCTTGTTCCCACAGCGATGATCACTCAATCAGAAACTCAAGGCTTGACTTCGCAAACAAGGAAAGGCGAGAACCTGAACAGCCTTAAACGCCCCTTCATACGCGAAGCTCTGAGCCCAACCGGGACACCCTGCCCCAAGCTGCGCTATCCCCCTCAGACTCAACATGTCTTAGACCGGCGGATTGAACAATTGATTGCACCGCAAGCTCAACCTGCAACTGTTTCGTGCTGGACATGGCCGTTTGCCACCTGGCGCGATGCCTGCCCTCCGACAACACCATGTGTGCCGGGGTCCCGGTGCGGGTCCTCTCTCGTTGGGTGGTTGACGGGACCGTCACGCCCTCACAAGTAGCTGAGAACTCCCAGGCTCCATGTGGCTGCCCATTTTGGTGCTGCCAGAGCCAGGCCCCTGCAGTCTTTCACGAGAAGGTGTCGCATATGTGCTGTTCAATTTGCATTTATGTGCTGGGCAAGTAGGAAAGCACTGTTCTGCCCGCTTTCGAGATTGGAAATCATCAGACATGTTTGCTGCCAGTGCCAAGTGCCCATGCAGACCACTCAGCTTCGTAAAGTGCATGAATAGTTGTTACGATTGATAATGTTGCCAGCTGCAGCGCCTGCAGACTAGAGCAGACTGCCTTCGATTTGTGACCTTCCCCCACCCTCAGACAGTTTTGGGCTTAAGGTTCAGGGTTGAGGTGCGTGAGTAGCAGGTGTGGCAGCTCAAAGACAAGGCCATTCTGAGGCCCTGGATCGTGCCTGGACCCAATTTAACACAGTGGTGTGACGTCTTTGCTTATGCACGCATGAATCTTCAGGGGTACTTCATGCTGCACACGTAAGCGGGTTTGTGCCTGGTTAACATGAGAATCAGTCGGTAGGCTTGCTTCAGTTCACCGGCATCTCTACCAAATATATCTCATGACACACCTGCGATTACCTTTGTCACAAAATCACCGAAAGCTGCAAAACTCTGTACTTCTGAGGCAACCTGACCCAGAAAGACTGCGAACTACACCGCACTGTTTGCATACTTGCACCGTTTCAGGTTCAGTTGGCCTTGGGAAGCTTACGATTGTGTAGTGGGTCCTGGTGTGTTTTTGTAGCCCTTGCGACAGCTCCCGTGTCACTTTTCACCTTGTTAGACCGTCGTTGCAGTCCTTGCCTGCCCGGCCCGACTGCGGGTGTCGAAACTCCAGACACTAAGCTCATCAAAGGCGCTGCTAGACCCTCTGGATGCAACGGCAGAGAGAGAGAGAGAGAGAGAGAGAGAAAAAAAAGCCCATCAAACCCATGTCCGGATCAACTCTCTGTAGCCATCGTCCTACCCTTGAAAAAGGGACAAGAGGACCCTGTAGGGTTTAGGGTTTAGTGGTTAAGTTTTATACCTGAAAGTTCTCCCCTAAGCCCATCGAAGTGCAAAGCTTCGGTTTCCGAAAAAGGGGTACCTTATTTGGGGTCCTTATAATTAGGATCCTAGTATTGAGTGTACTATATTTTAGTCCCCCATTTCCAGGATTCTGCGGCCTCTGGGGCCCCTGTGGGCTGCGCTCCGCGACGCACGGCTGCAGCTTCGAGGCCGGGTTGCCTGGCGATTCCAAGGGTTTCTTATAGGATCCTTAAGGGAGGGTGGTTCAAGGCGGGAGGGTATAAGGAATCCTTAATGGACTGTAAGGGAACCTTAGGGAGTACTAGGGAGAATTAGGGATCACTAGGCTATATACCCCCCTTGGACCCCCGTCCCTTAAGGATACTACAAGTTTCGAAGAGAACTGGGAGTTTCCAAAAATAGGGGTACCTTATTTTGGGTTACTATAAGGGTGCTATAAAGGTTCCTTTAAAGGGCTCCATAAGGGTTTGGGAGTTTCCGAGAACTGGGGGTACCTTATTTTGGGGTTACTTATAATAAGGATCCTACTATTTAAGGTACTTTTCGTAGCTGGATGGGTACACTTTACACTTTTTCGGATAATACTACCCACTATGAAGCTAAAAGTGTACATTTTTGGAGGGCTTATGAACTCAGCAGCTAAGGTTCATGGGGGCCTTACAAGGGGTGAGGGAGGGTTTGTGTCTGGGGTTGGGGTTTAAGAAGGTGCTTCACAGGAGCTTTGCCGTGTTTAGGAAGGCTTGGGAGGGTTGTGTAAGGGCTGTTGGTTACTCTGGGTTGTCAGTTTGGGAAAATCTGTGGAAGGGGTTTGGGTTCTTTAACGGTTTCGGGCGTGGGCTTGGGGTATAGAGCTGAAGGGCTTGAAGTTTCGAGTTTGAGTTCAGGGTTTGCTGAGTGCAGACCCCGCTTAGCATCATTCCTCTACACCTCTACACTGAACCCTGTTAAACCAAATTCCCGTCTAGACATTGAAAACGATACTGTAGAGTGGAGCTCTCCGATACGTCTCCCCCAGCGCAGGATTGGCGACACTCCCATGAGGTTGGGGGTTCCGGGGAGGGGGGGGGACTTCGGATTCTTCTAAACGGCTTCTGGTTTTTCGGTGGAAGGACCACCACATTGCGTACAGTTCGCCTTTTCGTTGCATGTGGGAGTGGCTTCTCTTGATTATTTGGTTGAAGATGTTGGCGCCTTGTTTCCAGGAAGACTGTTTCCAGGACAACCCCCAAACGTATCAGCACATGTTCTTCACGTGCAGGCACAGGCAAATGGCTCTGCCGGCGATATGACAGCAACTTGTTTGAAGGCGCTGACGGAGAGAAGTGACGATAATTCAAGGATTGAAAGACAGACGCTTCAAGTACACGCAGATTTCTTGGCTGATTGCTCGGGTTGAGTTTCATGACAAGCTGTGGTTCCACAGGGTTTTGTTTGCCTGCAGCCTCCCCAACAGACACATACGAAGATGCAGCAGGACGCATACGGCTGTCTCATCCGCAGTGGTGTGGAAGAGCTGGCTGAGGCAAAGAGTCCTCGATTTGAGAGTCAGGAGGTAGATAGACACCGCAGGACTGTGCCAAGCTTTTGAAATGCCGAGCCTCCTGCATGGCTTAGCTAAGCCCGAGAATGCCACCAACAACAACTACTACTACTTCTACTTCTACTACTTCTACTGCAACTACTACTCCTTCTATCACTACTGCTGCTACTACTACTACTACCACTGCTACCACCACACCGCCACCCCAGCCACCAGCATCACCGCGGCGCCGCCACCACCACCGCTACCACCACCACCTTTGTCACTCTCACTGCCACTGCCACGACGACGTCGACGACCCTAAACTCCTACAGTACCAGTACGGCTACCCTCTTCCGTTCATATGATATATATATATATATATATACACACTGTATATACGTGTGGTCTTCTTGCTTGGTCCTCTTGTTTTCTTCTCAGGGCTGCCTGCCCGGTGTCCTTGGGGTGCTGCTGGCTGGCCTCGATTCTCGGCTCCGGCGCTGCGACCCGCCTTTGGAGTGCCGCCCGGAACTGATACTCTACTGTAGTACACTATCCTGGTTGAACGTGTGGGTTGAGTCCGGGGTTTCGGGAAATCTGTTGCGGTTTGACATCAGATTGGGATTGAGAGCCTGGGGCTTTGCCGACACTTCAGTGGCAAACAGCCCTTCTCAAGGCGACCGGCACTTTCCACATCATCATGGTGCCGCTTCCAAACAATCGCAAAGTACTGACCCCATGCATGGCCAAATCTACGTGCTGCCGCCGAGGCGTCATTGAAGTGGAGCACAGCTACTCTCGTTTACAAGCCTTATGGCCCCGTGCCGGAGTTCCACATCAATGGGCGAAGAGGTGGCGCCAGAAGAAGGGGCTCTGGATCCAGCCGCAGCCACTCCCGTACTGTTGCACTGTGCTGTGGCAGATTCGCTGGCATTATGAATGTGAGCACTGTTCTTCCTCTTTGCCTATGCCTACCACGCATTGCTGCGTTTGCAGGTGGCCACTTCCGTCGTGGCGTCGGAAGGCAGCATCCCTTAGATCGACATGAAGAATCCCACAGCAGCATCTTCGGCCTTCGGATGTTGAGACGCAGTAGCTTCGCTACGTTTCGTTTGGGCTCTAACATTCCAACGACCTAGTCAAGTCCAGCTCGGGAGGCGGAGTTTTAGGGCTTTGCAGCTCTCGGTTGCGGCCAGGCCATCAGAATCAGATTGTTACAGTAGCTGTGGTTCCGTTTGTGGTCTGGCCAGAAGAGTCAGAAGAGATAGAGCTGACGAAGAAGATTTGCAGCAGGTTCCGTGGGTTGCCACTGATGGTTGGTCTGCCTCGAACTGTGTGCTTGCGTGTTCTCTTGCGACATAGCTCATAGTTGGTCTCCGAAGCACTCCAACACTGAACTGTATAAGGTATAAGGTATGGATGTGACGCGAGGGCTCAACTCGCCGAATATCCGTGCCAGGGAGATGCAAACCTCTTGCATTGCAGTGCCCCACTGCCGAAGGTGGATGCGATGTTCGATCGCGAAGATGGACTCCGAGCCTTGCGGGGGGTCTGCTTGAAGTGGATGCACCTCGGAAGCATAAGTGCCGAAGGTGAAATTCTACCCTAAACCGTGGCTCTCGGCATATTCCGTGCCATTGCCAGGAGTTCAGCAGCCGTCAACCGCCTGAAGCTTCCGTGGATAGGACCCCAACTGCGACTGGGTGCGGCGTCGTCTGTCTGAACGGCTGTTGGGTGGTATGCTCTGTGCAAGGCAGACATCGGTACTATAGGGGCCTTATTCTTTACCAATATTATTTTGGGGATTCCTTATTACAATTATTGTGTGCTGGGCCCCAAACCCCTATATTCTGATTATTAAGGCCCCCATATTACGACACTCCAAGGCTGTTTCACTGCTTTTTCTGTAGCTCAGCTCGTAGGCCCTTCAGCACTTGGATGCCCTGCCGGCACAGCCGCAGTTTTTTAACTTACCTTCAGTTAGTAGGGAATGGAAGAATGGTAGTAATAGTAGTTTTCATAAGTTATAATTGTACCCCATTCCTCCATTCCCTACCAACCAAAGGTAAGTTGTAGGATTAAGGCCCCTATATTATAGTACCCTTATAGATCCCTTATAGTAACCTTTATCAGGCCCCTTTAATTCCCTACCAAAGGTAAGTAAAGCCCCAGGAGAAGCCAAGATCCAAGAGCGTGTGCACAAGGAGCCGGGTCTGACTAAAGGGTTTAGGGTATAGGTCTCCTTGACAGGGATTTGCATCTGTCCTTCGGAATGCAATGCTAGGAGCTGTGGTTCCTCTAATTGTGGATGGCTTGATTGTGCAGAGCAGCTAAGCGCAAGCCTGAGGTCACCCTTTGCGAGGTGTGCCGAGAGCCTTTGGCACGAAGCTTTTACGGCCCTGGCGGCTTATTTCATGGTCTACGAGTGTGCACTGTGACGGCTTTGAGCCGCTGTCTTGCCACTGCTGTTCTGCCCATTAGTACGAGCGCTACCGGTACAGCCATGGTAGCTGTTATCAGTGTCGCTGCCCAGTGCCATAGTCACAAGGTCTACTGATCTACTTGATCCGTTCTTGCTGGTGCGCATGGCAAACTGGTACACATCGTACTGGTGGCACCATTTCCTATCTTATGCAGCATTGAAGCCTGTGAAGTCGGGGTCGTCTCTTTCGAAGCGAGGAGTGGCTGCCTAGTTGGATCGGCGCCGCTCAGCAGAGCCAGGCGGGCCGTGGCTTGCGCAATTTTTACTTTAATGCCATTACTTCATTCGACGTGCTGTCTTTCGTACCAGCCGATGTGCAGAAAAACAGTAGATGGGCTATCAGCAAGAGAGACATCGGAGTAGTAAGACTAGCAGCAGCGGTAGTAAGAGGATTAGGTCTTCCCCGTCCTCATCCTGGCCTCGTTGTAACCACAGAAGCATCGGTGAAACGGGAGCAGTGGCAGCAGCAGCAGCAGCAGCAGCAGGAGTCGTCGTCACATCAGCGGTGCAAGTGCTAGGCAAAGTAAGCACTTGTCTCATTGTTGCCGTCATTGCGGAAATGGGGTTAGCAGCAGTAGCAGCACGCAGAGAGAGAGAGAGAGAGAGAGAGAGAGAGAGAGAGAGAGGGAGGGAGCGGAAGAAGCAGGGAGGCAAAAGAACAAGTAAGATAGGAGTTGCCGTGTAAGCGCTGTCGTTGTCGTGACACCACAACATTGTGCACCAACACATCGGCCTGCACCTGGATCCGCCTCCGCACGTCTATAACGAGTCTATGAATTTCGAGCTGTGCATGCAGGTGCGGCATTAGCCTGCATCCAGCAACTCCGTCACTCTCTCTCCCTCTGCTCGCTCGTTTTTTGAAATTGACTAGAGCTCCGAGCCCTCTTGCCGTGTGTCTTTAGGAATGTGTGTCTTTAGGAATCATTGCAGCTCACATCTGCGAAATGTACAGGTCCAACACATGATTGATCCCAAGCAAGACCTAAACACTTCAACTCTTATGAACGAGGTGCCCGACTGGGTAATTTGCGCGATGGCGTCCACGAGCCAGCTAGCGCAAGACCTGTGGGTGCAAGGCCTCAGCGATCCTCAGCGGTAGGTGCCAGTTGGCTGGCAGTAGAAATCCCGGCATGAAAGCACTAGGAGTAGCAGTAGTAGTAGTCGTCGTCGTAGTCGCCGTCGTCGCAGTAGGAGTCGAAGCAATACGAGTAGAAGCAGTAGGAGTAGCAGGAGTAAGAGTACGAGCGGGAGTGGGGGTGGGGCTGGGACGGGGACTGTTGGACCCGGAGTAGAGTTGGAGTAGGCGTAGGCACAGGAGAGGCGTAGGAGTATATAAGGGTAGGAGAGGCGTAGGCGCAGGTGCAGGCGCAGACATCGGCGCATAGGTGTAGGAGCAGCAATAGGGGTAGGGGTAGGAGTATAGGAGTAGCAGCAGCAGCAGTTGTAGCAGCAGTGGCAGTGGCAGTGGCAGTGCCAGCAGCAGCCTCATACCAGTAATAGTGAAGCTGTTCTGGCATTTTCCCTTGAGCCCCGGCTCAAGTTCGTTTGCAAACTTCTCTGCGTTACCTGGGGGTCCGGGTGCTAGGGTTTCGAAACCCTAAACCCTGAACTCCTCTCGGTGCTGGTATTTAAGTTACGTTGGCCATGGCGGTCCTTTCTTTCTCGCTTCACGCCACGGCCTGGAGTCTCTGCTTCGGCCATAGAATGATGCCGCACTTTGCGGCGAAAGGGCAGGTGCGAGAAGGAGCAGAGAATCCATTCTGGTGGCTCATGAACCAGATCTTCAATCCGAGTCCCGCCACGACTACGACCACGACCCCGACGACAGAGCCCGGAGCAGACGATCCGACGCTGCAAGAACTTGCGGATGCGGAATTTCGCGCCTTACATTCTATCGATGCTGACGGCCATATCAACGGCCAGGACTCTGAGTGTCAGGGCAGACTCAAATTGAACCGGACGGGAGGAGATTCGATCTTTGAGCAGACACGCCACTTCATGAGCCACTCTGACGTGGAAGAGTGGTTTGACAGGGAGACGCATTCATCAAACAAGCATGCTTGGTACGCAGATTGGGAGCAAAGCCTGCGGGTCAATTTCCTTAATGAAAATGGAATAGATTTTGGGGGGTTGCGAAAAGAGTGGATACAGCTGAACTTGGAATCCATTGTGGCCGAGGAGAAGCCCAGCGAGAAGGCTTTAGAATGCTTGAAGCTCAACAAGTGTGCGAACAGCACGACGCCCCAGATGCTCCTAGAGCCACTCATCTCTGGTGAGCTCATTCCCATCCTAGATTACGAGCAAGCGCCGGATGCCGAACTTGCAGCGGCGGGGGATCAAGGTGAGGGTGAGCCTGGAAAAGCGGGAAGTTTTCACTTCCTTGGCCGGTGGATTGCAAAGGCCTATGTTATCAGTGGCATGGGCTACACGCCGGCAGGCTTTCACAGCGTCATCTATGAGAGCATCTGGCACGGTCAAACTGCAGTGCCACATCCCGCGCCCAACGCTTACAAGGACGAAGACCTGATCCGAGAGTGCGAGTGGATTGCTGGGATCTATGGCCATCGCCGGCAACAGGAGTTGCACACGTATGGATGGAAGAGTTGCGATGAGATCGTGGATCCCGAGTCCGGAAGGTACACAGACCAGAACTGCTACAAACCGCTGTGGCGCAGCCCGGATGTGTGGGAATACCTCAACACTGAGTGGGGTCCCTTTGCTCCCCAGGGTCTCCAGCCCGATGACCTGGTGCCTTTCAGCAGAGCCCAGGAATATACTCGTCTGAGCTGCAAAGCAGTGTGGAATCAGAACTTCAAGGCACCCGTGGACGAGCTGGTGAAAGGCTTCAGATCGGTTCTCCCGAACAACACGAACTCGCAGTTCTGGCCGGAACTCGCCAAGTCGGGAGGTTTCCAAAGGCTCCAGAAGCTGATTGAAGGGAACTCAGAGCTGGATCTGGAGAAGTTGCTCGCTGTTGTCCAGTGGCCGGATGGCTGGACTGACGAGCAGAAGCAGTTCTTTACTGATGCCCTCTACCGCCTGCAGCGTGCCGGGCGAGGCCTCCCACCGATGCAGAATCCGCTCAACAAGCTTCTCCGCTTCTTCACCGGATCCTTCAAGGAGCCTGTGGGTGGATTCAAAGATTCGGATTTCATGAGATTCCATCTTGAAAAGCCGACTCAGCAAGGTAACACCACTGTGCGATGCTCTCCACTGAGCGGGCACACATGCTTCAACCAGCTCTACGTTCCTGAGGGCTGCTTAACGGACCCGGACGAGCTGGACGAGGTGATCCGTGAGAGCATTGCCGTGGAGGGCTATTCGCTGGGCTGAGATTCAAGTCTTTGTGTTTGTCAAGTGTTGTCCAGCTAGCTTCGTTTCACTTGACAGACCTCGAACCACATGCCTCGCCTGGATTGTCCGAGCGTGAGCGCCGAAAGCCTGAACCCATTGGGTGGTTGCTCGTCAAAATCGCAAGAGGTGCTTAGCCGCCTGGGTCATGCCCGTACCTCAGATGCAGCGGCAGCAGCCATCTTGGGTGCAGGGTCTGAATAAACTAGGACTTGAAACGAGGTGTAAGATTTAGCAACTGTGCGCCGAAGATTCTTTAGGATTCTCGCTTCGAGTGAGCATTGCGTTGCCTCAAGAGAGTTGATCCTCGCGCTTGAGAACTTGACCTCAGAACTGTTTGCCGTCTGCATTTTAAGCTCGACCTGGTTGAGGCTTCAGACCAAGTCGGGGCATGTACTTCATCTTCTCAACTTTCAATTGCCTCTGAACCATGAAACCATGAGCCCTGAAACACAGAGTTTGCCAGCATCAAACACCGAAGGTGCCCCTGTGATGCCTGAGCCCCGTAGCCCGGCGGCTTGCGCCTTCCAGCTCGCCCTGACATTCTGTGAGAAAGCCTCGATAGCTGCCTTTGCGGAGGACCTTATTTGGGGGTCCTTGTGCTAAGGATCCCACTATTTAGGGTACTATATTAGGCTTCGGAAACCCCCATATGCCTCTGATCTAAAGCCGAGGAGCTTGTACTCATTTGGTTTAGAAAATCAGATGTGAAACTCGGACGAATGCAGAAGGTCTCCAACGGACTCTTCCTTGAGATCGGGGCGAACCATCCCAGCACCATGTCGAACACGCTGCTTCTGGAGGCCGTGGACCCGATGCCTTCGAGTGCATACCTGAAGCTGGAAGCCCCACTCTGTGCATGTCTTCTTTAGTCATGCCCTCAAGTTTGGGCCCCTATCCGGGAATGTCGAAGACTCCGGGCCAAAGTCGCTCTCGTTGTTGCCGAAGGCAGCTGGCTGGCACGGGGTCTGTGCCTGGCGCCCATTTCCATTCAAACATGCAGAGTCTGGAAGAGGAAGCGGACAGGGTCACCTCCACGGATGGATCTCGAGTTGCCAGGCTGCGAGGCTTTCAACCACAACGGCTCCAAGACAGCTCAGGTAGAGCCATTCCCGCGTGGAGACTGGCCGCCCACTCGGTTTGGGTGGGCGCCTGGGGTTCAAACCTAATTCAGCTCTGAACAGCCGCGCAGACTGCGTGTGCACACGCAGGCAAACAGGCAAGAAGACAGCCAGCCAGACAGGCAGACAGAGATGACAGACAGCCCGAGAGACGGACGGATAACAGAAAAGCGAACTGACCGAGACATGTGCTCGCATGAACACAGACTCGTTGAGGTAGATGTCTCTTCGTGTATGTTTGTCTGTACTTCAAGTATGTATATTACTGGCTCAAGTTCGTAAATGGCATACGTGTTGGGTCTAGTTTACAAACAAACATGAACTCGCACGTATGAGTTGAGGAATGTTCCTCACTTCAGGCCCCCTTTGCGAAGGAATCCTCAGAAGTTCTTGAACTGCGAGTGTCGGACTCTTTGGGTGTAGTCAGCTCTGAGCCTCTGAGGAGCAAGCGTCGTGCCAAGCTGGTGATTGCAGCAGTGGGCCAGGTCGAGGGTGGCAGGCAGGCACTGAGCACGTTGGAGTTTTGCGGTTGTAGTCATGTCGCACGAGGTGTGGGTGCGAGGCACTGAAAGGTTCTGCTGTTTTGCTACAAGGCGAAGCGCCATGCTGTTTCTTCTGCCGGACAGCTGTGCTTCCATGCGGTCGTGACCACGTGAGTCCGAAGCCCCGATCGCGGTGACATGCCCTCGTCTAAAAGAACAGGCAACACTCTCCCACAGACACAGCAAGAGTTCCTTCATCTGCCAGCTTCTCTAAGCTTACTTTTGGCTAGTAGGGAATGGAATAATGGTAGTAATAGTAGTTAAAATTGTACCCCATTCCTCCATTCCCTACCAACCCAAGGTAAGTAAAGAAACCCAGCTGCGAGGGCCACATTTGCCCTGCCGGGCTCCGTTTGGGGGGGCCTCCTCTCCAGTGGCTGCCTGAGATCTTTAACAAATGAAGGGAGTTTCCGAAAATTAGGGGTACCTTATTTTGAGGTCCTTATACTAAGGATCCTACGACTATTGGGGGTACTATATTTGGGTCCACTATTTTCGGAAACTCCCATGAAGGGCTTCGTGGGACCGGAGGGGGGGTGCACATGTCTTTGAGTCTTCGGATGAGGGGAAGCTATGAAACCTTGCATGTAGAACAGTGAGTTGTTCATGTAGTTGTGGCATGCACCTCTGTGCCTTGGAAACTCGGCCATTTCCGTGCAGATGTCATGCTTGTTGCAAGTGGAATCTCTATAAATGTTCTTTTGCCATCAGGTCTCGGATCCTCTCGCTGATAGCAGTTGAGTCTGGACATTTGTGAAATGCATGGTGGCGCCTAGTAACCTTCTGTACAGTAAGCCTTCGCAAAACCTGTCTAGTGTTCTGCAAGGCATGGACCCGAGCTGCTCGTCTGCAAGTCTTGGGTCGCAGTTCGGCGACGGAAATGTGCAGCAGCCGCCTTAAACTCCTGAAGCCACGCTAGGGGATCGTAGCCGATGTCACTCTACGACCAGAGTTCCACTTCCCAAAGCTAGAAGTTCATAGACCTGGCTTTCTGTGGATGACAAGATTGTTTGAGGCAACGTGCAGCGGCTGGACAGAGATTATCCGAAGGAGAGGCTGCAATTGCGAGCATCTTGCGCAACAGACCGGGTATGTACTTGTTTGCCCCATCGATTTTGGTTTAAATTGGAATTAGGATTTATTGTCGGCCTACAAAGGCCTACGGGGTTTGGGGTTAAAGAGTTAAACCCACAATAGTATAGGTAATTATTAAGGCCCCTACATTATAGTACCCTTATAGATCCCTTATAGTAGCCCTTGTTAATTGTTGTAATTATCAAGGCACCCAGTCTGGAGACCAAACTTGCAGGAGCAGGTGCAGGTCGCTGAAGTTGACACCAGGAGCCGATGGGTGTTCACTCAAAAGGTGAACTTGCTCCTTCTAGCAGCGTACTAAAGGGGCCTAGATAATTACCTACAGTATTTTTAGGGGTTCCTTAGTTTCTTTTGGGCTTATAGTAGAATGGCCCCAAAACCCTCTTCTAATTATTAAGGCCCCCATATTCATTCAGAGGGTCATCGAGGGTTGAGGGGTTTTGGGGTTGGGGTCGCTGTCCCAGAAGTGAACCGGAGAGTTCTCGGGTCCTGCCTCAGGAACACATGTGCGAAAGGGAATGCAGAAAGGTACAGTCGCAGATCCCCCGCCCGACCACACTCCCGCCGCTAAGCCAGGCATACCCACACCCGCCTTTCGCCGACATCCTCCAAGCACCCAACGCGCCCCCATAGATACACGGTCAGAAAGACAGTAAATGAGAGCCAGAAATGTGTTATAGGTGGAAAAGACAAACAAAGACTCGACATATATATATATATATATATATGCACATGTATGTGATAGATGCCGAGAGCTAGAGAGCTGGAGTATGAACGAGCACATTTGAAGGAGCATCGAGGCGATTTTGAGGGAAGCGCTTCCCCAGGATAAGCCCGACAGGAAGAAGGCCAGAGCGATGGACTCGGGTTTAGGTATAGGTTTCAGGATCTTAGGGTTCAGGGTTTTAGGGTTTAGGGGGTTTCAGGATTTTAGGATCTAGGGTTACGGATTACTGGTTCGCGGTTCTGTGGGGGTTCGAGCAGCTAAACTTTAAGCTTTAGAGGGCCTTAGGTGAGGCTGGCAGGTTTCGGTAGAAGTGAGAGCTTCGGCCAGGCCCCTGGCCTTCCACACCTTGGCTTTGAAGATGGGTGTGGGATCTGCGGTCTAATGTTAAGGTTTTAGGGTGATCTTGTGACACACAATCCAAGCCCATGCTGAAAGAAGTGTGATCTTGTCAGCTTTTGCCAGTCACACTTCGCCCACTTTCAAAAAACAAACACATAGAGACTTTTCCAGCGCATTGCCAGTTCTTGGTTGGGCTGCGAGAGGGAACTATAAGCCTCGTTCAACACGACCTTTCATGTACAGTCAACTCCCTGTGTGATTTATGGGGGTTTCCGAAAATACGGGGTGCCTTATTTTGGGGTCCTGATAACAATAGCAAGGATTCTACTATTTAGGGTACTGTATTAGGGTCCCCTATGTTTGAAAACTCCCTTTTGGCCCAAACGTGCCCAAAGGATACTTAAAATCATTCGGTAAGGATGCTGTTGCAATCAACTGTAAATACCTACACTTACTGAGGCGCCTGCATTTTTTTAGCCCGTGGCTGGTCCTCACTCCACCTAGGCTTCAGAATGGCATTGAACAGTGGCCCGAGGGGCTCATGTTAGCACAAGGCGGCGCTCATGGTAGAGCATCAAAACGAGATTAGTGGTGTCGCAACTCGAGAGCAACACAAAGCAGGTCATCCACTTCATGTCCGTGGACACGGAGGGGTCGCTTCGGCCATGTCTTGCAGACAGGTTGCTTCTGGTAGTTGTTGGCGGCTGGCTGGATTTTAGGCTTTCCGGCTTGAGCTTCTGAAGCAGTTGGGGATGATGCCGCGGCTTGGCTGGTGATGTTCTTGTTATGTGGATAAACCGGCCCAGGCACAGCGCCTTCGATCTTGTGGCTGCCTACGGAAACCTACATGAAACCAGGGGCTCTGCAAGCCAAAGACCTAGATCCTTCCTCTGCTGGCTCGCAATTGAGAATCTAAACCTGACCAAGAAGCCAGGATGTGATGACAAATGTCAGAAGGGGGTCCGCCCACGCATTCAAAGTAAACGTACTAGCCGAACCCCCGGTCTTGACACCAAAGGTCAGAGCTGGAGATACTGCAGGCATTTCCCTTCGACCGTTCTTCGGCACAGACTCTGGTTGAGGCACGCGATGCAGGATGGCTTATATGCTACTGACATGATGTATCATGTACATGGCAGCAGGGCTCAGGCACAAGATGCTAGCATGTGGAACGGCGTGATGTTATGCATGCATGGCACGGATATAAATTTGGATGGACGGATGGATGGATGGATGGGTAGAGTCGGGAACGTGCAGAAGCGGTTTCGCAGCGCCTCGGTCTTACCTGTGCGCACGCATCCGGCGTATGTATGTATGCCCATACATATACTTACATATACACACATGCCCCTTTTCGCAAGTGTAAGATGCATCTCTGCAGACGGCTATACATGGGGTCATGCGCCAGCCATATAAAGGCTTTTAGAGGGCTTGTTGCTGCCTGGCACCTTGCCGTGGGGCTTCAAGTTCTGAGTCCGGGAAGCCGAGGCTACCTCCCGATTGCTATTGCCGCGTGCTTCTCAGCCATAGCTTCCAAGAAGAAGGTTGATGGCATAATGCGGAACAAACATTGACGACTTGTCTCTCTGAGTCTAGACCGTGTCCTCCGGCTGTGGATCTGGAGTCTGAAGCTTCTCGGACGGCACCTCCCCATCCGCTGCCCTCAGAGGTGGAGCATCTGCACTTCGAGCCGAAGAAGTCGAAGACCCGAGCATTTCTGCAAGACCTCGGTGCCTCGGCGGGTTGCCGCGATATGTTTGGCAGGTGTTGGGAGGCGTGTGACTACTTGAGCTGCGAGGTTAAGGTGTGATCGAGTTGGCATGCTGATGCAGCATGAATGCAGCGAGACATACCTTCGGAGAGCTGTCGGGCGGAACCTTCGTTGCCAGGCTATGATCTCGACGTCGAGGCGCGTGGGCTCGTGGGCTTTCCATCTCTATTTCGTCTTCACCCTCGGAGAGGTATGGGGTCTAAACACCCTCTTGGCAGATTGAATGAGTGATATACCAGTACAGTCCCAGACTTTGGTTGTAGGGCCCGTAGGGTTGATGATGAACTTACCCACATTCGTGTCAATCCCTGGGCGTCGATGCAGGCAGGGCACGACGACTTGTTCTTGCTGAGAGGATTCGAGCAGTATCTGGCGCAAGACGAGACGTGAGGTCTCACAAGAGCCTGAGGGTTTAGGGTTTAGGGTTAAGGGTCTACTACTACGGCGCTGCTGGGGAGGCACAAAGCTGCATCCACCTTTGCGCAAGATCATCGCTTGCAAAAGAAGGAGTACACAGCTAATGTTCAGTTGAGGAGGATTGGTACCACATGTTGCCGAGCACGTCATTGCATAGATTTGCTGAAGGTTCTGCCGCATTGGCAGTTGAAGCCGATTCTAACGGGGTGCTTCCCATATCTCTTGTTATAGCAATCGTGTTTTTTCTTGGCGAACCTCGCCGTCGTGGGAGAACTGCAGGATCTCGGTTGCTGGCATCGATGTTGTTGTCATTGTCACAGGCACTATCATTGCTGCCGTTGCTCCTGCTGCTGCTCATGCTACTGTTGCTGCTGCTGCTACTGCTACCGCGACTGCTACTGCTACCTACTACTACTACTACTACCACTACTACTACTACTACTACTACTACTACTACTACTACCACTACTACTACTACTACTACTACTACTACTACTGCTACTACTACTACTACTACTCCTGCTGCTCCCACACCAGTGTACTGCACAGCCACCACTTCGCTGCCACTGTAATGGCACAAGTTCCACTCTGCTTTCACGATCGGCCAGCTTTCACATGCCACCGGGTGACAGGACCTATCTCAGCAAGTGCAAAGAAGACCTGGACCGCGCTTTGCGATGACAGTGGCCGCCGAAATGCAGCATGCCGCTGCACATTTGCATCTCGCCAGAACCCTCGAAAACAGATTCCAGTAGGGCTTACAGTACGGATTCGGTACCGGGGACCTCGGTGTGCCAACTTGTCTTTGTCAGAACTGGAACTTGCCAAGCCCTCGCGTAGCTGCTTTTTCGTGCCAGGGCTGCTTGAACCACAAGTTGTCTTTGATGAAGTTACACAGGAGTTTCCGAGGTACCTTATTTGGGAATCCTTATAATAAGGATCCTACTATTTGGGGTACTATATTAGGGTCCATTTTCGGAAATTCCCACACGCTCAAGATAGCTATGCAACATCTTTGCCGCTGTCTTTGCTTGGCAAGGCAGTTGCCCGCGTGCCTGACATGCAATTCAGATACCAGCATGATCGTAGTGCACGCAGTGTACCGCCGCGATGGTCGAATTTGTAGGTTGATTTACTGCGTTCTTGAACTCTTGGTGTAGATCTCTCAGGCATAAGATAGATATATATATATATATATATATACATATTTATTTATATTTATATTTATATTTATTTTCCTTTATACCTTGAATATTCATATATATATATCAGTAAACAAGACCGACATACCCCATTAGCACGGCATCCTGAAGTCAGCGCGGTGCCTCTGGGCCCACAAGCAGGTCAACGTTTCACCATAAAAAACACCTGTGACTGAGGTTCTGATTGGAATTCAAAGACTGAGTCCAATCAGAAATCATCCATAGATAAGCGCTTGCCAGATGGCACGATACTAGGAGATTCGACTGCTTCGATGCAGACACTATTTCCTTTTCTTCACCGTCATCACCCCGTTTACTGGTACGAGTTGTAAGCTTCTGGGCTTTGGCTGGCAAGACAACGGGGCATCGGAATCGATGGCCTTCAGATCAAGGCCGGACGCCACGAACATGCTGCGAGACAATGCAAGCGGAAAAGAATCCAGCTGAAGTTTCTGCATCAGCAGTGAGCAAGATGTCGAGGTTTGGTTTCCGTATCTTGAGGATGTAGACGGTCAAGACCGGGATCAGGATCAGGGGTTCCAACCGAGTCGCTGAGCACTTCCCGTACTCAGTTTCGGCAGGCATGGTCTTTGGGACGGGTATCGCCCTGCTCATTCGAGTAGAAGCTGTGGTGCAAAGGCTTCCAAACCAGCCGCAGCACAGCCTCTGACCTCAATCTTCCAGAGCAAATCACAGTCGGCTCTTGTGGTTCCGTGCTCCTACGCATGAGGAGCTCACCAGGAGCACACTATGGACCGGCACACCCTCAGCGGTCCTCCATACACTGTGGCTGATGCAGCAGGTCAACAAAGCACTTTTCACAGCTGTTGTCAGTTTTCTGGTTATCGCATTGCTACGACAGCTACTTAAAAGCATTTTTATAAACGCTCCGCTGGACTGGCTTTTTATTTGTTGTTGTGATCTGGTTTTGAATACAGACGCCGCTGTCAGTGGACTGATGGCGCGGCTTTGACACAGCCCTGGTTCCGGCGAGGACGATGGGCAAGGCAGCAGGGTACGTTACGTAATGCTTTGGCACGGTGATACTCTCGGCCGTAGCCAAAACAAGCATGCCCATGTTGTTGTTAGTGCGGGTGCCTAAAGCAGAGGCTGAAACCGTATAGGCAGCGTAGCAGAACACGTTCGCACCAACACTGTGACGAAGTAACAAGTAGTGACGGTACAAGATATTTGCCCACTCAAAGCCGCCCTTCGCCCTTGAGCAGGTCAAGAAAGCTCACCTCAAAAGCAAGCACCTTGGACCGAACATTCACTGGTTACATGGGCTGGCATGAGAACTCCTTTCCGTGATGTGCGGCTTTGGACTCCGAGTGTTAGTCGAGGAAAGCCAAAGCCAAGCAGGTGTTGCCGGCGCTTTGTTTCAACAGTGCATCCGTTTCAGGTTCTGCGACTTGATGCTTGCAGTGTTTTAAAGTTTTGGGATTCGAAAGACCACTGTGTTTGGCTTTGTTTGTTTACTACAGGTGCTACGACCCAACACGGCCACGACCGTGATGACAACGACGACAACAGCTACCATGTTCTACTACTATTGTCCTCCGTCTACTGTTGCTACTGCTTCTAAATACGACGACGACTACCACTACTACTCTTCATTTGTCTCGCAGGGAGCTCATACTGCGAATGCGCCAGGTCGAGAACTCAAAACGTGGTGGCATGCAGATGCTTTCAGGTTTTGATAGGTTTAGTGCCCCAGGCTTTAGGGGTTTCGAGTGTTCGGGTGAGGGCTTCCTGCATGCTGCTATGGCTACGGCTATTTATATGCAGCTGTGCTGGACTATACACGTGCCCATGGCAGGCAGCCAAAAAAAAGGATGAGGACGCTGATGTTTCGGTGGAGCCGCCGAAAGAATCGAGTCACGACATGAAGAGGAGGGGCTTGCCATACTAGGGTTTAGGGTTTAGGGTTTTACGGACGTGGTCTCTTGAGCTAGAGTTCCGATCTAGTCACTCGTCATCGTGCATGGCAGCACAACCACTCCTGACCCATCTGCAACTCTCACCGTTTAAAGAAGTGCCGGAAGAGTGTCTCCTGTCCTCGATTGCTAGTTTGACCCAAAGCCAGCAACCCAAATCGAAGCTGAGCCCTCTGGTGATGCCAGGTCTGCCACCGGCCTAGTGGCACTTACTCTAGAGGAAACGTCCTAAGTTCTATTCAAGAACCCTTATAATCTTCAGCTTTCAGAGCACGCATCCGCCAAACCCTTAAAAGAGCAGAATCCTGAATCCTAAACTTGACAAAGAGCTCCTTCCCTCATGCTTCTTGCAGGCGTCACGCAGCTGAGCGCAAAGCACTCAAGGTGCCTTTTGCATAGAGCTTGAGTCCACACATGGCATGCTAAGGACTTAAAACTTATAGGAGGATTGCAGCCAAGTCAAGACATGTGTCACGGAGCTCTAATCAGAGTCCCCTCCCAATTCTTCAGAGCTGCCACTTGTCTTGACTGCCAAATGAAGCATCCCCAGTGCCCCTCGAAAGTTGAGAGTCCAGATTCCAGATGATCTGTCCAGGGTTTTCAGAGCGCCTGTAAATGCACAAGCCTTTAGGCAAACTTCTTTCAAGCCCTAGTACCCAAGAACATTTAGCACTCATTGTTTTGCAAGTGTACTGGCAGCTTTGAGCAGGTTGGATCAGGGGGTCGGACAGAGGGCGTTTGCAAAGGTCGCCTGGGTGAGTAAATCCGCAAGCCGCCCAAACCCCGCAGCGCGAAAGTCGAGACCACCTGCCATTGGAAGGCGACCGTGGCAGACCTGAAGCGGCAGCGGAAGAAGCTGCCGAATCCAGACGGCAATTAGCGGCTAGCGGGTGCGATCCAGTGTTGGGACGCGTGCCTTCAGGAGCACAAGTGCTGCAGACTTCGGGCCCTCAGGTATGATGTGTTCAGGCTGAAAAGCCCAACGGCATAGCAGAGAAATATGAAATATGCTTAATTAATTAGCAAGCCGGGACGGTTCCGCCTTTAGCGTGCGTACATTGCTGAGGTTGGATTAAGCTAGTTACCAAAGAGGAAATCCGGAACTAAACGCGAAAAGCATTTCGAACTTTCCAACTTTTATCTTGAGTTTGACCGACCCGACATAGCCTCCAGGAGCCATCAAGCTCTCTAAACTCTAAGCCGCTTCTGTAAAGACTTTTAAAGTAACCGTTGGTCGACCGCGGATGCTAAGGAAGAAGAGCAAGAAGGACGACAAGAAGGCACAGTCTTGAGAATCTTCGCCCGGGGCCCAAAGGCTTCCATCTCGCCGTGCAGCCCAAGGCATTAACAGACGAGATCAAGCAGATGACCGGCCCCTCGTCTCTAATTTAAAAGAGCGTGAATCTGTGGAACGGTGGTTTGGGGATGTCTTGTAGTACACTGGGAACCAAGTATGTGGGCCACAACGGGCCACTTTGATTAACTCTTCTGGGATTTTTCCGCATTGTGATTGTCAGCGTGCCAACTGGGATGGGTTTTCCGGTTTTGTCAGCAGCCATCCTGCTCCTGGACACGTGTGAACTGCACCGACCTTTGAGAAAACAAGGAGACCTAGATTTAGATGCTCAAACAATCGGAACGACATGGACCCTTGTTTTTGAAGACGCCCATATGTTATCAGTGTCAAAACCCCCACAAAAGCTTTCGGGTTTAGGGATTATGGTCACTAAGCCTGCTGAACCCCCAACAAGACACTTACAGAACCCTCAACATACCCAAAACTTTGAGACACCTCGAAACGTCATCGAAGCCGTAAAAGGACTTTTAAACACGGCCCTGACTTCGAGCCCCTTATTTGGGGTCTTGGCCTGAGATGAGCTTCGAAAGCGGCATGCAGCGGAGCTCGGCGACAACGGAGGGGAGGAGAGGATTATGGGTTCAGGGTGCACTTGGGAGTTTCCGAAAATTAGGGGGTACCGTATTTTGGGGTCCTTATAATAGGGATCCTACTATTTAAGGTACTATATTAGGGTCCCCTATTTTCGGAAACTCCCACTTACTCCCGGAAGAGCGGTTAACTCTGAGGCGTCCTTGCGTGCAAGTCAGCAGCAAAAAAGGGTTGTACATTGTACATACCTTGTCTGACTGGGGTTTTACAAAGTTTAAGGCTGTGTGGTTCAGGGTTAAACAGATTTAGGGTTGCCAGGGTTCGGGGCGGATCGGAGTCTCCTAGCTGAGGCTCAGAAGTAAGACAAGCTAGCAGGGTGTCTTTGTCATAGTTGGGTAGCATTTTACACATTTTTATGGGTACTTAAACCCAATAAGGAATAAATATGTATATTTCTAATCCTATCCCAACCATGAACTGAACTAGGTGCAGTGCTTGAGGCTTCGAGGTGATACGAGGGAGGTCTTTCGGCAGCAGTGTTCTGGAACAGTCAGGATTGGGGGCTCGTGCAGCAGTGTCGAGCGTAGTGATGCTGTGGGCATATGGGAGTTTCCGAAAATGGGGGACCGTAACATAGTACCCCAAACAGTAGGATCCTTATTATAGGGACCCCCAAAATAAGGTACCATAAGGTACCCCTAATTTTCGGAAACTCCCATATAAGTGCTCCATGTCTGAAGGCATCCCTCAAGTCACGCTGTGCGATACAAGGCATTTGGCTTTGGGAGCAGTCTTTTAGCTGTAGCTCCGCTAGGCCCTACCCTAACCCCAAATAACCTACTTCTTTAGGGACTTATATAAAGAAACTATAGCAGGGGGCTCTAAAACAAGTAGGTTCCTTAGGGTCCAGGTAGGCAAGGCAGGCCCGCTTATTGAAGGGTTGAAGCACTGCTCTGCCTTGATGATCTTGATGTGCGCCTGCGCCAAGCTCCGATTCTTCTGTGCAGGATCTCGGTGACGACGATGATGCTCAGGAAGATGAAGAGGAAATGTCAGACGAAGAGTAAGCCGCGAGACAAAACAGTCCACTGCTGACATCGCCGACACTCGAGTGTTTCCTCCGTGCGCTACATCCTTGCCTTTAACCTCCGATTTCTCATCCTGTTGGACCCTGGCATGTGCCTTGTTGGTCCCAGTGCTTTCAGAAAGAGTGCTAGCCTTTGGACGGCACCTAAGCTCCATGCCCTCGGCCCTAGGCTTCTGAAGAGCAATCAATGCATGTTCTCTCGCCCCATGTACAGAGGCTAAGGAACTGGCAGTGAATATAGGGGCCTAAATAATTACCAATACTATTTTGGGGGTTCCTTGTTATAATTCTATGATACTGGGCCCCAGAACCCTATTCGAGTTATTAAGGTCCTTACACTGGCTTCCTAAAAGCTTTTGTGGCGAGGACAGTGTGTAGGAGGACAGGAGCCATGGCAGCCGCCGAGGGGATTGCCAGTGCCGGGGTCGGCGGCTCAGATCTTCGAAGAGAGCGCTCATATAGGGGCTTTAACAGTTACCTTTACTGTTTTGGGGGTTCCTTACTATATTTATCGTATAATTGGCCCCCAAAACCGTATTCGAATTTCAATGCCCCTATATGAGCCCTTTGGCATGAGAGGTAATGTGCACATGCTGGGCGATTTTTGCATTGTACCCGTGACAACGATACTCACAACTGCTAGGGTGACAGTAGTCGTCATGGCCAACTGCTGTCACAACAACGAGGATACCAGGAAGCAGTCGGAGATTCTGGTGCTTATTACTGTTTGTGGCGATGAAGATGCCGTGGGCAAGCCGCACCTGAACTTTGCAGGTGCAGTTTGCCCCATGGCGGATGTTTGCGCCAGTCTACCTGATCACCCTTCTGTATGCCGGGCCTTCAGTGCTTCAGCATTGTTTTCAATGATTTGTCTAGGCGGGGTGTTGATTTGCAATCTCCCTGCATCGGAGACGTTGCCATACGGTAGTACGGATCCGACAAATCCCTTCTGCAAAGAGGAGGTGTAATCAGGCGTTGTTTCCAGTTTCGCACACCGCACGCCAGGATCCTTGCATGTTCACCGTGCTTTGTTCTGAGGCCGGCTTTTCCTTTCCGGCAGCTGCTCTTCTCGCGGTGCAACTCTAAGACTCTAAGAGTTGTGTTCCACGACTGTTCCTGACTCGCGTTTCAATGCAAGCTTGCCTGTTTCGTCCGCCGAGGTGCTGCTGCCGAGTATGGTGTCTGGGTCCGCGTTTGGCAAAGATTTGTGTCTACGTGCGTCTGTGTGCGCGCGTGCGCTTCTCCAACTTAGTTAAAGTAGCCGGAGAGCAGAAAGTCAGAGTTCAGGTTTAACCAACAACCGCATCAGCCACCAAAGTCGAGATCAGAGTAAGGATGGCCAACACCTCGGGCATCCAATACTATCGGCAGGAGCAGCAATACCTGTTTCGAAAAACCACATAGTAAGTAGCATTGGGCTAGTAACTAATAATTTTCTTAGTAACTATTCCTGAGGATATTCCAGAACCACCATCACCACCAGACCGCCACCATGAGCATCGCAAATAACAAATGGTAGGTGAGGGAGATGACAAGTTCAAAGAACATAGTAGTAGTAGTAGTAGTAGTAGTAGTAGTAGTAGTAGTAGTAGTAGTAGTAGTAGTAGTAGTAGTAGTAGTAGTAGTAGTCGACAGTCTGGGGTTGCTTGTTGTCTACTAGCTCCTCCCCTGCCTCACCACCAACATGTGATCAAGCCTGTTTACGACCCGGAAAAAAGCCTATAGAACCTATTTAAGAGCAAAAGCTCTGATCATAGGTCCATCATGCTTCTTGCAATATCATCAACAGCGAGCTGAGGTTTTCGAGTTGTCCGTGACCTGGCGCACAGCTCTCGCCGTAATCGTTGTTTCGGCTCTGAGCCTACGGGTACCGGCCCCAGCTTCGTATTTGGGAGTTACCGCAAAGTTGGGGGTGTACCTTAGTTTGGGTTACTATAAGGGTACCACGAGGGTTCGTATTTGGGAGACTTTCTGCGAAAATTAGGGGGTACCCTATTTTGGGTTACTATAGATTTTGGACTTGCCGAAAAGTTCGGGGTACCTTATTTCGGGTTACTGTAAGGGTACTTCAAGGGTTCCTTTAGAGGGCTCTTTAAGGGTTCAGGGATACCGAAAATTAGCGGGTACCTTAATTGTGGGGTTCTTAGAAGAAGGATGCTACTATTCAGGGTACTATTTCAGGGTCCCCTGTTTTCAGAAACTCCCCTATAATAACCATGGGCTCCAGGATTCAAGTCTTTGGGGGTTCCCGGCTTGTGGGGTTCTGGGTTTTGGAGGGGTTGGGGTTTCGAAAGGTTAGGTTCCATGTTCGATGCCATTACGCTGGTGTTCATGCTCATCTCATGCCTGCTGTTTTGGTAGACGGGCCCTAGGCAGGGTGCTCCATGTTCAAGAGCTGTGTGGTAAGCGGTTATTCTGGTTTCTCCTCAGGGTCTCAGCCTTTCAGGGGGCCCGAGCCTTGAAGAGGTTCGGAGATGTCGACGTTTAGGGTTTCCAAAGCTTCAGTTGCTTGTGTGTTTCTCCGAGACATTGTGGAATGTCCATGTGGCGGCGAAGGGGGAAGCCCAAGAACAGTCGCCGGTTTGCGCAGGGGCTGTTTCAAATGAGGATCCCTTCTCCACAACGGTGGTTTCATCTTTGCCTGAAGGGGGCCCGTTCGAATAGAACACCCGCATCGCACGCCCCATGCAAGCAAGAAGTGGAATGTGGCCCTGTAAGACCTATCATTACCAGTGAGACAAGAGGAAACCCGTCAAAACAACAGTTACCATAACCACCGAGACCGACCAACAGAATCATGTAAGAGACGGTAGGATAAGAGCCCCAGTAGTTTTGACATTGAGGATGCCAGGGGCAGAGGCAGCAGCAGAGGCGGCAGCAGCAACAGCAGCAACAAGAAGAATAGCAATCACTTGAAGGACCACACCTCCTGCAACCCGGTACCCCAGCTGTGCCAACAGGTCGCGAAAGAGCCGCTGCTCGGCCGCAGAAACAAGCGTGCGGGTTTCTTCCAGGAGTCTGGTTTTCAACACTTTTAGTGTCTCATCAGTATTTTCGGGTGGCAATCTAGATATTCAACGTTCATGGTCATGAGCCAAACCCCTAGGCTTACAATTTCAAGACAACTTGAACAACCCTTTCAGAAATTTCTTGCAGCCCCCGAAAGCGGCCGGAGCCCAGGGGCGCCGCGATGGCTGCCAAGTACTTTCGGGACATGGCCAGATCCAGGTCTCCGCATGTCTTCTTTGGTAAAATGCGGATGCAAAGGGGGCCCATAAGGGTTTATAAGGGCTTTATGGGGTGATTTTGTCTTTGGCGCTCGCGGCCCCGGTTCAAGCGGTAAAGGGTTCTATGTTGGCTTTGGGTTTGGGGTTCCATAATTAATCGGGTCCTTTACAGAGCTGCGTAGAGGTTTGGGGGGTGTTTTGGGTTCAATAGCCAGGTTCAGCGAATTCCTTACGAAAGTTTAAGGCAAAATCCATGGTGGAGCAAATTTCGGAGTTTCTTCATTTTCGGTTCAATGAGGCTCCAGAGTGAGTTCAGAGTAGCTCACGGCTCGGGATGTTGAGTAGAGCTCGGGGCAGCGATGTCTACAAAGTTTCAGACTCTTGGAGATATGTTGCACCGTCGTGCCATGTTCAAGTCGAAAGCCCCCTTGGAATCCGCACTTTGAGCTCGAGCCGTAGAACTTGTTTGTTTCATCCTGTATGGAACTCAGGAGAGTGCTGGCCCGAGCCATAAAGCCAAATTGAGCACCACGGTTTAAGGGTGAAAAGCTCTCTTTCTTGACACCGCAGGCTGGGCACGCTGGTGTACAGGTCGCCGCGGCGCGCTCAGCGCCCTTGGTCCAACTGACATCGGCTGGGCAAGCTGGTCGTACTGTAGGAATGCATCGAGTAGTAAGGTGTCCCATTGTAGTCGTCGCCGTGATCGTAGCTGTGGCAGTAGCATAAGGCAGGGAGAAGTCGTGGTCGTCGTCAGGGTCTTCGGCGGAGTGGCGGTGGTAGTGGTGGTGCCAGCAGTCAGTAGTATCAGCAGCAGCAGTCGCACAGGGCAAAATGCCGTCGTATCGATCCTCGACGACATAGCTGTCGCAGCAGTAGCAGTGGAACGATAGAACTGCTGACATTCATTGGACAACGACATGATCGACAATAATGATACTGACCATCATGACAGTTCTGCCCACCACATGATGGCGGCGATGAAGATGATTTTGGCAATGGGCAGTGCTGGTGGCTCCTGCGGTGGTGGCGACAAACATCCTCGGCAATGGTGACACTCATGTTCTGTATGACGTAACATTTTGATGATGATCAGTTGAATAAAGCTTGTAATAACGGCTGCTGGTTTGAATCGCAGAGTCAAGATAGATCAGCGTCAGCTCCGTGCTTGTCGTTGCCGTAAGTTCTGCTCGTACCCCTTTTTCCTGCGGCACGCAGTGGTCTTGCAGTCATCCTGCCCCCGGTTCTCCCACCTGTTGCTGGCGCTGTTCGTTGTAGAACCTGAGAAGATGGATGGAGTTCTCCCGAGCGGGCGCCCCACCAACTGAACTCACCAAGAGTCGCCTAAGGAAGATCAGCGCGCATGCTTTCTGGGTTCGCAGTTGCAGCGGATGGACGGACACTTCACATCACTCGTTCCCACGATATAGCGATTAGACCCGAACCTGGAATCCCCCCCCTCCCCCGGCTGTCTGTAGCACGAAACGGCTTGAAACGAAGAGGGCCTTGGCCTCATCAGGCACATCATCTCGCAGTAAGGACTTAACTTAGATGATTCAGGGTGACACAATCCCGGAGTCTCGCTGTCGCCATGCAGAGCTCCCTTGCTTCGGGCGTGGGCACTCCTTTGACATGGCTTTGTACACAGGCCCCGGAGCTCCTGGAACCGTTGGTTGTGTGGGATGTGCCGACCTGACTTCTACCGGCTGTCTTGCTTCAGAAGCAGCACTTCACTTAGTTGAGCAGGGGTTGGCACCGAACACCAACCAGGGTTTCTTCTGAAACCCTGCAGTGTCCCAAGGCCTTTACATAATCATCGTCCTGAACCATCCCGCCGTAATGCCCGCCGCTCCTGACGTCTCAGTAGAAACCTTGACAATCGAGACCTAACAGGCTAGTGTTCCAAATGGGCCCTACTTGCGTTGCAGTTCAGAGCGACTGATCCATAGAGGGTCCAACCTCGAATCCCTTGACTGGCGAAGTCTGCAGAACAAACGCCGTAACATTTAGGTTCGTGATGTTTATGCCCACTACCCTGGCACTTGCCGTGGTTCCTGGTTGTAGTGTTCAGCGCAGAGGCATGGAGCCTCGACTGAAGTGTCGAGTTGTGACAGCCCCGTTCGCGAACCCCAAACTCTGCATGAAAGTTCGTTGGGGCAGGGGGCAGTTATCAATGTGCTTCTAAGTATCCTGACCGGGGGTTGCGAATTGCAGCTTGTGCTACGCTGCAACCCTGCAAACACTCAAATGTGATCCATGCCCGACATTCTCAAAGCTCCACCCTTAATCAGTCGGGAGGTCGAATCATTGCAGCGTCTGGTGGTGGGGCTGCCCGGCGCTTCAAAAGCTGCGGGGTTTCGGAATAGATGGGGGCAAAATAATCCCCTGTTGCAAGTGCACGCCTACGCAGGCCCGGTTGTAAATTCAAGGTGTTGGGCCTTGAGGTTCTGGGCTTCGACCCTCCCTCTCTCCCTTCCTCCCTCCCTTGCTCTTGTTTTCTCTATCTCTCTCGCTCTCTCCGTCCCAGGTTTGCAACCACCTCCGCTTATCTGCTCCGCCCCTGTCAGCGTGTAGCTCAACTCCAGCAATTATCATCGGGGCACAGGAGGTTGCACTCACAGTCACTGCACTTGCGAAGGAGGTGTGGCGGCTGTTCTAGTTTATGCCTTGGTTGCGTCATGGGTTTTGTGTGCCTGCCTTCCTTACCCGCTCTGCTTCGCTGAACGTCTCGATTCAGGGTTTGACTTTAGTTCGGTCACTGTCATCGCGTAACGATGATCGGTTCATGCGGTTTGTGAGCGATCGCAAGTACGGCTGGGTAACCCACCGACTGCGAACTATGAACCGCCGCATCTCGCGACTCCGAGTGTTAGAGCCTAAACGCTAAATCGCAAACAGATCCCCTAACCGCACACTTTGACACTTGACACCGCAAAACCAAACCCTCCCCGAACAAACCCTCGAAACCCACACCCACAGAGTCGAAGCTGAGACTGCTGGAGCGCGTTTCGGATTTGGAGCGGGACGTGGCCCCGCTGAAATCCCACATCTCGGGGGGAGGACGCAGGGTGAGTGCTTATCTTTTGAAGGTGTCATAACGGAGATCTCCCAAACATAGCACTGAACGGAGATTTGGGATTAGGAGGGTGAGAGATCGCAGCTTCGGGGTGTGGTAGAAGATGCCCGAGGTACTGGAGGTGGTCGCTGAAAGTAGTCCGAGTGACAGGGGGGTCTGGAAGGTGCTGCACGACTGCCCAACTACAGAACTAGGAAAGAATCGCAGCATCTTCCATCATTATTTATACCATGGGCGACCCGGAAGCATTGAGCAATGCCATTGCAAGATGATGGGCCTGCTGAACTCGATGCTGCGTTGATGTCGACAGAGTACAGGGACCCGATGTGGAACCACTCACATACGAAGCTACTCAAAATTGGCAACTTCAATGGTGTTCCCTATTTCATCCGCATGCATGAAGCCGGGAGAGGGGATGCAGGATGTGTGCAGCCGTCCTGGCGCGAGGCCAAAGATTCGGAGACCTGCTTGCAAACCTGGGACGGAAGATAGGCCGACATAGGCCGAGGAGTCTTCACCAGGTCAGGTTCACAGCCCATAGAGGAAACTCCATAAAGTTGGAGTATGGTTTCAGGGTAGGATACCCTATAATTAACCATAAAGGGTTTAGGATAATCATATTCCAACTTTCTGGCTTTTACTTTAGGCTTTGGACCATGTCTCGGGCCAGATTGCAGCTCTTCACTCTTCCAGCGCATACGAGGAAGTGGATTCGCTGCGAGATAATGTGGACAAGCTGCTGATGTTCATGCATAGGCCGGAGCCAAGAACCGCGACTGATGCAAATGTCGAAAGCACTTCGACCGACCCTGTAAGCCTAATTAGAAGGCAGGCTCGTTTGAAAGCAATATTCTATAGATTGCAGTGCAGTTTGGGCTCGCTGTTTACCCTGAACCGCCGTTATAGAATTGGTACCCCTTGTACCCTGCTCCAAAAAACGTGAAAAAAATTGGAGAGATCGGAAAGAGGCTGGAAATGCGGCTGCCGCCGCCCTTGGCGCTCCCGGGCTCTCTGCCGGACAAAGCCTTGCTGAGGGCACCGGCAGAGGCTCCGGTGAATGAACATGCGATTTGGGTTTAGGGTTTAGGATTTAGGGTTTAGGGTTTAGGATTTAGGGTTTAGGATTTAGGGTTTAGGGTTTAGGGTTTAGGATTTAGGATTTAGGGTTTAGGGTTTAGGGTAGTGTTCAGGGCTTGGGGACTCTGTGGGTTCACTCATCTTCCTCCTGTTGCTGTTGCCTCTTTCTCGGGCTTTTTTCTGTTGGTGCTGTTTTGCTGCGGCTTCTTCTGTCGCCGTTCTTGGGCTTCCCAGGGTTACAGGAGTTGGGCCGCCTTGAGGACGTAGCGTTTTAGGCGGGACGGCTTGCCAGAGCTTGGAATGGGACACCTATGCAGAAAGAGTATGCGGGCTTGGGCTTTGGGGTGCGGGGCTCCAGCGCTTCGGGTTTGGAGGTCTCACGAATCGGATCTCAGGGGTATAGAAGGTTGTCATGACTCGGCCCTCTCAGGCGATAGAGGGTCCATCCTCCGGCTGTTCTCTTTCGGAGGTTTGCAGGCTACGCAATCTGCCTTCAGATTGAGGGTTTGCAGGGATCAGGGATTGTAGCGAAGCGAAGTTGTTGTTGTCGGGGCGCAGTGCTTTCGGATTCCGGGAGGGCAGGAGGGAGATGGGAAAACTGCCAGATGGTCAAGGATACAGTGTCAAGTCTAAAAAACCCTCATAGTACCGTTATTCTGCTTCGACTTGGTGCATGCACCAGCTGGTTCGTGTGCATAAATTGGAAACGTCGTCGGTAGAGTCGTCGTTGCCCTTCAGTTTTGGAAGCAACCGACAGGGTTTCCGAAAACCCAGCAACAGGATCGCGCGATCTACGACGAGGGCGACGAGAGCTTCATCAAGAGCCATCGGGAGTTGCCTGCAATGAACCCGCTGGAGACCCGGCCAGATGGGAATACAGCGCGGTGGTGGTATCAACTGATCACGATGCCGCTCCTAGTTTCACACCGTGACCGCAATTTCCATGCTCTTACAACTCCTGAGACTTATGTCATCTTTTTCCAAACCTAAGAAGCGTGCTAGATCTTGGGGCGGGCGGGCGGTGTGAAGTGGTCAAGGGCCGTGCTAAAGCTGTCGATCTAGAAGTAGCTACGACCGACACGTCAAAGTGAGATTAGGGAGCCTGAAGTGCCTGATCTTGCTGCAGCTTTGTGTGCCTCCTGCACACCAGAAAGCGCTTATTGAAACCTGAAACCCTTCGGACGTATGACAAGACTAGCTGCACACACCCCGAAACCCCCCCACATCCTGACAACCCTACTGAAAAGAAAACCTCATGCTCCCCGCAACCTCTGAAAAAGCCATAGAAAAAATGCCCAAACAGCCAAACCTTGGAACACCAAATCCGCAAACAAGCACAAAAGCAGCTGAATTTTCAGCCCCAAACCTAGACCCGAAACCGTTTCGGCTCTTGCATTTAAAAGAAAGCAATGCCCGAGGAGCTCCAGGGCCTTCTCTTCACGGTAGCTTTCGGAGATGAGCCGGATGTTTCTCACCTGACCCTAGAGGATTCACAGTTGAGGGCTCGAGGGGCTACTTGTTAGTGTGTACTGCAGCCTCTCGTCAAAAAAGCCTTTGAGTTGAGGGTCTATAGGGATTGTCGGATATTTTTGGGGCGGGAGGAACTAGGAGTTGAAAAGGTTTCGGGTTGTAGCCTCGGGTTCCAGGTTCGGTCAAATCTGTTAGCATCCGAAGCACTTCAATGCGCCTACTCCTCGCCGCTGGCCGTGCCGTCCCGACATCCCACAATCATGTGTTAGCGAGCCCCTGAAGCCCTCCGCAGCGACATTGGTTGACCGAGGCACTGATGCTAATCAGCAGTGCTGGTGATGACCCTCCTGGCTCAAAGCCTTTAGAGAAGGAGAAGAAGGCGCCGTCCTTGAAAGCAGAAGGTATCGGCTAGGAAGTGTAGAAACACAAAGTTCGTGCCCTGCAAATGCAATTCCGGGCATCCTCGGTCAGTGCACAGGCCGAGCTGGACGCGAAGGACTGGCAGATGAGAGCTATTGAAGCCGCCAGCCGCACCTATCTTCAGGGCTGAAGCCGTCTAGGCCTTGTCGCAAGTACCGAGAGGATCTATGCGAAGAGGCAGCTCCATGTCTGCCATCGAGAGAGCCAAGTCATAACAGAATCAACCCTTGAGAGAGATATAAGCACCATGTCCGTCGACACGACGGGGCTCCTGCCATGGCAGCAAGCTCAAGCTGAGTACAGCCTCCTCTCCGTGAAGACTCGCATTTTTCGGGATTTTGCCAAGCTGCCAAGTGGATTCTCCGCTTGAGAGCCTGCTTCATCCAACGAGTCGGCCTGCAGTTTTGAGAGATGTCGTCCTTGACCGGCTGTGGGGGGTTTTGTCAAGCAGGACCAGCATGGTCGCACAGCCCTGCACTGTGCCGCATCGCGGGGCTCCGAAGCCATTGCCAAGATGCTCCTGGACAGTTGCCGGCGGGAGGGTCCCTTAGCATCTGATCCCGTATGAATCTAGCCAGGTTCGAGCAGCTGGATCCAACTCTTCAGACTGGAGCATGTGACGTGTTGCATGCTGACCCTGCCAAAGACGAGATGTCGCAAGCCTCTCAGTTCAGTAGTTGGTTGCAGTGGTTGCAGTTAGCCTTGTGAGGACCACTCGAACTTCGTGTACTACATCGACGCACCAGACCGCTACCTTCGATCGGCCTCTCGGTCGCAGGGTCGCTTTGCATGGACATCGCGTAACAATCTCGGCTCCAGCACTTGGTTTTGGGATTCTAGAGGGGTCCCAGTGCATACAAGAACAGGAGCAGTTCTGCGCAGTGTCGCCTCAAGAAAGTGGTGTTTGGCGATGGTTAGAGCCATTGCGGTGGTGGTGGGAGGGGGTGTAGCCCCCTAAGCCCTGAACACGACCTGGCAGGCGTTGCACATGGCGGCTCGTGCAGGCCACGCCCAGGTGTGCCGATTACTGCTTGATCACCGACTCTTGGACGCCCGAAGCTTCAGCCCCAAGTCCCAAAATCTGCACCGGAAAAACAACCCCTGCAACCTGGCAGAGAACACAGTGCATCGAGCATCGGCAACGATCGATGATGTTGGGTGCAAGATTGGGGGGTAGCTGTTGGAGAGGCGATGCAACAAGCCCATGCATGGTTGCGCCAGATACGACTCTCCAGTCTTTCAGATTATGCAAGTTCGAGTGATTTTTTCTTCGCTCCCCTGTCAAGGATTGTTCACAGCCGCAAATGCTGTGGATTGCGATGGGCAGACCGCCCTCCACCATGCAGCAGCCGCTGGCCACGACGATGCCACCTGCCTTTCCCGGATGGCCCAGATATCTTTGCCTTCACAAGGCAGCCAACATAGCCTAAAACCCTTCAACAAAGATTCATGTCCCGAAAGCAGGGCTTTCACATTTCAGGTTTGCAAGCTGCTCATGGACCACGAGTCCTTCACAGCTGTGGACGCCGTCGATGTCTTCGGGCGCACAGCGTTGCACCACGCAGCGCGTGGAGGACGGGACTCGGATGTGCTTTCCACGTCTGTCTCTGGTGCGTTTAACTGAAAAATCTTATTTGTTTTCGTGTTGTGATATTTCTAGCGGTGTGCGAGACATGAACTCCAAAGGAACAAACCTTGCTGGGGATTTTGGTTCTTATACGTCATTAACACACTCACCCCAGCTGGTGAAAAGGGCCGAAGCAACCCTTGAAGAGCAAAGCAGGGTCCGCTTCGCGGTTACTTTAATGATCTTTGATGTGATGGTCTTCTGATTATTCTTGATGAAGGGTTTTTGTTTAACAAACCCTCTATGCTGGTCTTCTGATTGTTCATGGCATTTGATACATTGGTAAGACCCTAAATAGTAGGATCCTCATAATAAGGCCCCCAATATCTGAGACATTGGCATGCTCATACCGCTGCCAGGGCACGCGCCGGTGGCAAGTGTCCTGCTGACCGAGGCTGGGCACTGCAGCGAGATTCATGACCGATCCATACTAGTGCCGTGGTTATCACTGTTTTGTTGCTAGTACTGCTATGATTTTCCTACTATCATGTTTGCTACGATCCGTACTAGTGCAGGGGATATTGCCTTTTTTGCTAGTATCGTTATCATTTTTTCTTTGGATTATCATTAGTAGTTGTTGCTGCTGTCGTCGTCACAGCGGCAGTGGCAAGTAGCATGAAGGCCTGAGTTGTTTCACTCTGGGATTCCATCGCGTGGATCTTCTTTAGGTGACTCGGGGGCTGCGTTTCCTAGATCCGGCGGCTACCGCTGGCGACTCTGGTTTCTCAAGGTAGCCGATGCTGCGGCCCTGGGCCCTGAGATGAGCATGTCACATCAGACCCGGCATGAGCACGGCGTGTCCCTGACAAGGCAGAAGTCAGCACTGCTTCCCGGCTGGCACAAGTGCAACCGTTGATTAACCTGTCTGCGTCAGATCGTTTGAGACAGGGAAAGAGATGCTACAAATCAGTCGCCTTCGGTGCTTGACAGTTACATCGCCACGATGTTTGGAGCTGAGGTCTGGGCGACTGAAGCTTGGCATCGTTTCGTGGCGGGGCCACGGGAGCTTTAGGAGTTCCGATCTCGGTAGCCTTCGCAAAAGCTGACGCCCTCTTGATCGTGAGCCCATGTGAAGACGGAGGTATACTACAGTTTCGACGAGTGTGTACGGGGCTCCTCCAATACTTGACGATGTTGGTGAGGGTGCTTCTGGGTCTCCATTTCGGGAGAGTAGTGAAAAGCTTACTTCGCATCGCTCTTCGATTTATCGGGGCTGTTCCAAGTTCTGAGCACTCTCAGAAGGAACGTGCTAACAGCAGATCGCTGCGCCAAACTTATGGATCTTTCGTCACAATCAACGAACCGACGTCTCGACTTTGCGGTCGAGTCTAGAGGTTACTACAGTACCCCTAAACCTCTAAACCCTAAACTTCTAAACCTTGAGAGTTCATCTTCGGTTCTCCACAGCAAAGGACTGCGACCACCTGACAGCCTTGCACTCCGCCGCCTTCCGCGGCCATCTGGAATGTTGTGAGACGACCCCTGGCTCGCGTTCACCTACCTTTTTAGGGTTCCCTATGATGATTTCAACTTTATATAAGTCCCTAAACGGGCAGGTTATTTGAGTTAAGGTAGGTTCACGGGAGTTAGGAATGGCCTTGTGGGCATTTGAGGCGGCTCTTGCATGTTTATGCTTTGCAAGGAAGAAGCTGGGTTTTGCAAATCCTTCGGTGTGTGGGGAGCAACGAATTCAAGGTCAGACGTTCCAGGGTGGCTTTGGGCTGCACATGGGAGACAGCGGCCATGCTCCCCTCCGATCCGAAACCCATCACGTAGGGCGCACTTGAAGGTTCGCGCATACTTTCGCAGAACGGGCGAATGTGTAGTGAAACCAACTGACGTTTCAATGAAGTCTTCAGCTGTGGCACTCTAGCACAGAGGCTGCTGCAGCATGCCAGCTTGGAGCAGGTTTGCAAGGCCAGCACTTCCATGCTGGGGTTTTGGTTGGGAGTTCAAAGTTCGAGGGCTCGTGAGGAGCTTGCCGATTGAGGTTGTGCACACTTGCTGTTACCAGACATGCAGCCCCCGTCGAAACACCGTAGATCTTTGACATTCAGGGAGGCCTCCAGCCTAGCGATTGAAGTCTGATGACGTTGCAGCGCCATATGTAAGTAAAGCCTTAAGCCCACTTGGAAGATAAAGATTATTAGTCGAATCCCAAGACTCGAAGACTGAACCGAACCGTAAATCTTACAAAATGCAGAATCCTGCTCAAAACCCTGCAACTCCCAAGCGCAAAGAAAGCTGAACTCCCAGCTTACTCTCTCCCAACTCCCACCAAGCCTGCATCGCCCCAAAAGAGGCCGGCATTCTGGAGATCGCCTCGCTCCGCCATGCTCGTGAGGCGCCCCTTGGATGGGGTTTAGGGTTTAGCTAAACCCTAAACCCTTAGACCCTTTTCAATGCTGGTATTGGCCGGCTTCTGCGAGTTGAGGGCCTCACCTGCGAATCACGTCGCGAAAAGTTTTGCCGGCCTGGAACATGTATATCTGTATATCAGCATCCAAGGGTCGAAACAGGCGGTTGCTATGTGATCATCTCCAGTCGCTGTCAGGACGTCCGCGCCGTCATTCAAGCTGCTTTGGAGAAGGCTCGGGCACCTTCTGCGGGCGATCAGCCAAACTCGTCGAACACGTCCAAACAAGCCCGAAGGTCTGAGTCTAACCCTCTCACACCTACGGCCGGCGAGCATCACTCTAGCTCAAAGCTCATCTCTTTTTTTGGCCAAGATCAGTGGTAAGCCTCCCGAATCGCGAACCCCACGCGACCAGGGCTTAGGACCCTTCTCGCACTCTGCAAGCAAAACCAGATGTGGATGGTTTTCAAAATTAGGGTCCCCCTTTTGGGTACCCTAAATAATCGGTGCCGTAGTATATTAGGGGCCCAAAAAGCGACCTTAAATTTGAGAACCACACAGATGTAAAGGCCCGAAGGTTGCACCCGAGGTGTTCACAGTGGCTCTGAAACTTGGGCAGAGGTGGGCGTGGCCTTCGAGGATCCCAAGGAAGTCGGCGTGCAGGTAGCCCCTCGGACAGCCAGAGGAGCGGCTTTCTGAAACCTCAGGGGCTTTCTAAAGCCTGAACTGGTTGAGAATTTGAATCTTATGCTCCGCAGTGGTCGATGAAGACTGGGTCTCTTTCCGGGTCGCAAAGGTGCCCGGTGTCCCCAACATGTAAGCTGTTTTCGTCCTGTTCTTCCGAACTCGCTTTTTTTGGTATCTGTGCGTTGCTTGCTGACTCTAGTCCCAAATGGTAGCTCCGAGACCTCCGGTTGCTCCACCGTGTGCAGCGGGGTTCGGACTGCGAGGCTGCCGGGGCCACAGACGATCTTGGCTTCGACCTGGCCATTGAGGAGGTGGCTGCTTGGCAGAAGCGTCAGGAATCAGATTCTTTGCGTTACGTTGGGTTGACGCTTGCTTGTGGCCGGGATAATGCATGCTTGCAGTTAGCCGGGGATCCGTGACGTTGGATGTGGTGGACCAGTCGTTTGAATGCTTGCCTGCCTTGTGAGCGAGTGTAAGGTGCAAAACCCTTACAGTAAACCCGAAAAGCTATAAATCACCATAATATCTACAACCACTACAATCACTGGAACATCTTGTAGTAACCTTTGCAGTAGCCCCTAACCCCCAAAGCCTCAAAGGAGGAGGAGGAGGAGGGCTCCGAGGAGCAGCTCCAGCTGACTCTGCCATCACCGACCGATCTCGGAGCGATCGCGGAGGGAGGTGGGTGTTGGGATTCGGGCCGAGGGATTCATTTTCAGGGTGTCTCTTTCTAAAATTCTACGGGTGCCATGTCCTGAGAATCCTGCAAGAACATGGGCTCTGATGCTGCGAGACGGGCTCCGATGGTTGAAGGGCTTCAAGCCGTGTCTTCTTGCGCGCTTGCTATCATGCTGCATTTCCAGCTATGGCAAACTCCTGTTTCTCATGTTTCCCCTGGTTTGAAAGGGTTGTTAAATGGCACCTTCTTTGCAAGCCTTCTGCGCCTCATTTCTCGCGCAATCGCAGCACAGTTCCTCTGCTATCCTATTTATAGGGGCATCCCGGCCTGGGATCTGCCAGGGGCAGTTGTTCGAGAGCCTCTGTAAGTGCGCGCAGCTCGCTTCAAAGCTGCATCCAACAGCTTAGCTGCAGCCATATAACATGAGAACCAGAAACCCGTCTTTGCTCATAACTCCCCGCATGATTCTTCGAGGGTTCGAACTCCTGGGTCAGGACGAAAACCAACCGCACTGGTATGAGCCCGACAACTTTAAGAAAAGCACAACTGCAGCCTACGGTTTGTGCTATGCGAGGCAGTCCTGGAACTCGGAGCCCGCGTACGCCAGAAGGCCGACTTTCGACCGAGTTTTCGGATTGAAGGTTTGGGCTGCTGTTCCGCTGCATGAGAGACCCCCACAAAATCGTGGTACCAGTACGGAGTGGACCGGGTGGTAGGCTCAAGGGGGCAAGAATTTCAGAAACGCGCATGCGGTTGAAGGCTTGGGGCTGTAAGTCCTGAAAGGAAAGTCTGAAGTGCAGACTTGTCTCTCGGGAGCCCTTTCCCTGAACCTCAGATAAACAAGTTCAAGTCTCGTATGCAAGCCATTCGGACTATGTAGTGCAAGTTGCTACAATTATCTTTTGAATCATTTTAAGTGGTAGCTTTTCTTTTCAGTGACTTCCTTTGTGGGTTGCTTCTAGTTAAGAGATCCTGTAAGTGTGAGTCATGTTGTTTTTATTCTGTCGCATGCACGAAAATGTATGTTACAAGCACACATATTCATTTTCCTGACGAGGACAAGATGTCCCTGCGGACGTCCTCACTGCTGCACCACTACTGGCGATCCACCAGAAGCTGCTGGAAGCAAAGATGAGCCTTGACATCCAAGTTGTTTGCTGAGAGCTTACGTCCCAAATTCTGCTGCCCACCGCATGCTTTTCGGACATCTTCGGACATGAGATCTCATTGCTCACATAAGAAGGCAATGAATTGAAAGGTAGCAGAAGCATCAAATACAGAAGGAGGCTAGCTGGTTGGCTGTCGATGCGTTTGAGCACGTGTTGTTGCAAGTACTAGGCAGCGCACCAATGCGATGCTACACGTGCGGACCCTTTGTTTGGAAAAAGGGTTCCTAACCTGACTTCCGTTCCAAAACGGCGAGAGTCAGCTTCGTCTTCAACATTCCAATGCTCTCAACGACGGCTGGTCTTGTCATGGAATGGTGACTGCAGCAGTTCTCGTCGTCGAGGCAGATAGGTACCTGGCGGGTTGGCAGTGTTGACCCAGAAATGCAGCACTCTCAACATGTCCAACACTTGTTTCGACAACAGAGCACCAGGTGAGAGGCACGCCTTTACCGCTTGCACTTGGCAGCGAGCTCCAGCCACACGTGCTTAGAGCCGTGCCAAATAAGCATCAAAGCAAAGTGGGTGAGGCACATAATCTGAGGCTTCCGCAGCGGCATCCCGTTGAAGCCTGAAGGCTAATACGAAAACCCACATGCCGAACCCCGCCGAAAGCCTGTCCTTCGCGGCTCAAGCTCGTGGGTAGGCAGAGTGGATTCTTCTTCGCTGTAGATCCGACGATTCTCAGCATAATAGCTACGGAGTCGAGTTCAGGGTTTAGGGCATCTTGGTCCTCATTCTAACATAGCTTGCTTCGTAACCAAATTTGTGTGACTGCAGCATCTTCTGGTCACAAAACCCTGTTCGTGTTCCCGAGAACTGAAACGTAGGAAGGCTCCAGTCTGCAGAGCTTGGTGCCCTCGTCATGGCATCTCCAGTGCATCCCCCGGAATGGTCGGACGAGGACGGGCCATGGAGTTGTTCTTACTGTTAAGAGGGCGGGTAGACAAGTCGTTTAGGGCGTAGTTTAGCGGGTCACGTTGGGCGTACTTTAGCCAGGTCATGTTCGATTACAAGGTAGGAAACGAAGACCTATCACCTGGCCGTACAATGCGATGTAACTTACAGAAGATGAAGGTAAAACATAGCACAGTATGAAAGCATATGAGAGCGTCGAGCTGCCTGCAGCGAAAGACTTTTTTTATGACAGCGCCAAGACTCTTACCTTCACAATATTTCAAACAATCTTCGCCTTGAGCTCTTGTCTTCAAGGGCAGTTTCCTCCTTGCTCTTCGATTCTTTGCGCTGGAGGTGGCCGAAGAGCTAGCAAAGATGCATCATTCGGTTGCCGGAAGCGACTTGGCATCAACGTACCTGGATAGTTTTGTAACTTATTCGCTGACGTTAAGACCTTCTTGTACTTCTACACATCAGGCAAGCAGAGATGCTAGTCCAGAGATGCGCAGTCTTTTGCTTCAACCCAAGGCGAGGACGCCCTGCCCCTAGTGAATAGCACGAGCTGCTACTAGGAATAACAGCAGCAGTAGCAGTAGAAGTACAAGTAGAAGCAGTGGTAACAGTAGTAGTAGAAGTGGCAGCAGTAGTAGTAGTAGTAGTAGTAGTAGTCGTAGTAGTGGTAGTAGTAGCAGTAGAAGTAGCAGGAGTAGGAGTTGGGGTACCCAGAAGAGGAGGAGGAGAAGTAGGAGCAGCAGCAGCAGCAGGTGTGGTTGTTTTTGGCTCTGACATGACGGTGTGAATGCTGTGGTTAATGTTGCTTTTAATGTTGTTGCCAATGTTGTTGTTAATGTGGTTGTGAATGTGATTGCTAATGCTGTTATTAATGTTGTTGTTAAAAATCGTGTCAATGTTAATGTTGTTGTTGTCGTAGACATAGTAGCGGCAGCGATAGCGGTAGCGGCAGCAGTACTAGCAGACGCGCTAGTAGCAGTCGCGGTCGCTGTCGTAGTGGCAGCCGTTACTGTCGTCGTACAAAGGGAGTGTTGGGCCGAAAAGACATTGGAAGAAGAAGAAGAAGAGACCCGTTTCTATATGTTTACACCTCAGACAACAAGACACAAAAGGCACACCTTGTTTGCAGTTTCGGGGGTGAGGACGAGCACGCCGATGCTCATCGCAAGACTGTTAGTAGGCATAAGTGGTTTGCTAAACGTCGCAGTCGCTGCATCTGTAACAACAGACATTGAAAATTGGCAGTGTGTGGGGATAAGGTGTTGAGATTGACAGTGAAGTTAAAGTTCATGACGATGACCTTGACATGGGTGATGTTTATTACATCTGTTACTTACGATACTGACCTACACAAGTTGCCAGTTCGTCATGAGGTGATCTTCGTCCAGAAGTTGCCCAGAAGATTTTGCAAGAGATGTGGCACCATCGCACAGGATGTGCGCATCCCAACTATCCCACCGAGAAGCTCCGCGAAGTTGCAGCCAAATTAAACCACATGTTCTTGAAGGACCACGAGAGGCTGCTCACTATGTACAGGAGCCGTTCCTTCAGGTTCTTGACCAACTGGCCCTTCTGGGAATATGTTTGCCGAGCGTTCGAGTTTTGTGCTCGCTGGCTGTGCTGGGAATATACGATCAGCACGGACATCTTGAAACATAGCTTGTACGACCTATCACCCCCTGATGAAGACACGGTGCGGATGTGGGTACCATGTGTGGGCACAGTCGATGCAGGCAGGGTGCTGGCATTGGTGTTCAATTTCGGTGGTGGCCGGGGTAAAGGTCGTGCCCAGATGCAACTTGTCGCTTTGCGAGCGCTCGTGGAAGGGAACTCCATCATGTTTGTCATGGTCCTCATCTTCGTAATCCTCACGGTGCTGATGCCCGCCGCAGTCGTTCTATGGATATTGGCAATGGCGTTCACATTCAAGTTTCATAAGCTGGCAGCAGCTTTTCAGGGCTCCTGCCAGTTGCTGCACAGGCATTGCTTCGCGATAGCCTCTTGTCCTAACTTCTCATAAGTTGCGACCGCCTGCTGATCTACTGGTGATATCTGTAATTGTAAGTAGGCATGCTAGTTCTGCTGGCAGTCATTTGTTCTTCGGTTGTACTAAACATAACGTTTTCCCATGTCTGTCACCGCTTCAGATGCGTTTTAACATGATGTGGCCTGAATCATTGGAACAGTATTCTGTCACATTGAGAGTTCGTATAGTTTAACCTTCTCCCAGTGTGCCCGCATGGTACCACCCGCAGTTTGGTGCCGAGGTGGTGTTTTTGCTGTTGCCGCTGGTCGTGGCGGGCCTGAGGGTTCGATACTACTCCGAAGACCTCCGGAAGCTGGATGTGTTAGTTAGAAGTGTTTTGAATCGAATACAAATTTTAGTAAAGCTCCTGTGCCTTGAAATCCCGGTTCCGCCAATTAAATGCTAGAGGGTCCGTTCAATATGTACACAGCTTTACATATATATATATATGTGTGTGTGTGTGTGTGTGTGTGTGTTTGTGTGTGTGCGCGTATATGTGTACATATCCATAGATGTGTGTATATACATATATATATATATATATATGTATGCACGTCGCATTCGGAAAGATAGCAAAGGAAACATCTGAAGCGGACCTACACCCTCTACTTGACCGTGTTGGCAGCTCGCCTGGCGCCTTTGTTTGCCGTGTACACATCCATCGCCAATCTCGTGCAGGCGGGACTTCGCTCGTTAGTTTGGGGTTTTAGGGTTTCGAGCTTCGCTGGCAGACACTGAGAGCCCAGCTGCAAAAAAGGGTTTCGAGCTTAGGGTTTAGGGCCTCGCATGGGGCTTACAGCTGCGAGCACTTCAGGGGCCAACAAGCTTAGCTTGAAAGTGGGACATACTGGCTGCAAGACTACTCTTCTTGAGGACGTTCGCGGCGGCACCTATCTGAAATTTGGGACAGTCTAGGCCTCTCTGGATCTATTCTAAGTAGCAGACTAACTCAGGCAGAGATTAACTAGGTCACGGTGCAGGCCTGAAGTGACTTGGATGTCTGGTAGTGTAGGGTGTATAGATAGGGTTTGGTGCGGAAGACGGGCTCCAGCCACAGACCTCTCTGCCTGCATTAACACCGCGAGGTAGTCGCGGGTCCTTTCGGATGCCAAAGCGATGAGCTTATGGTGGAGATTGCGTGGAGTGTTGCGAAGGCGCGAGCTGCTGATAGAGAAACTCGCGGGTCACGCTCGACCGTTCCGAGCAACACTGCAGACTGTAGACTTAGCCTGACATTCGAAATGACATGTGTCGCTGCTGCCTAGAACTGAAGTTGTCGTGCTGCGCGGGTGAAGCTGAAGCATGATGATTTCTGCAGATGCATCCTACAGCATGGAAAACTGGGAATTTCTGATTGCATGCCGCTTCTGTTGGTGATTGCCTGGTGGTAGAAAGTCTTTGTAGCTATGCGCGTGAAGTTACACGTACTTCATGTGAAGGGCTGCTGTGTCCGTGTGTGTGTGTGTGTGTGTGTGTCTCGAGTATATGGATGATCATTGAGTTATTGTGATATGATGTGATGGCGATGTGGTGTAGTGGTGTAGTCGTTTCTTTGGGGAGTTGGGTGTCCAGCTGGCTCAGCCTGGTTTCACCTCAGTACCTCGTTGCTGGAATCCGCGCCTTTCGAAAGTTGTCGTGATGCTCAAAACGTCCATGGTGCGGCGGGTACACTTTGCTAGAGGGAGCCTGAACATGCAGAGCAGCGGTGCCCAAGGGTGGACTCCACCTCCTTGTCCTGGTGTTCGTCAGCCCGTTCATGAGCAACCTGGCACAGGTCATGAAGTGCCGAGTTCCATTTCTGGAGGCTGCGATGCACAGGAAGCTTTGCGATCACACACTGCTGGCGGAACCTGCCCAGTGAGTCACTGACTGAAAAAAGGGGCGCAGCAAGGGAGCTGGGTCACAGATGACCGAGCGGGATGGTAGCGACAAAAACTGTACAATGTCATATTTTTAGCTGTTCAGCTAACCATTCTGTTAAGACCATGGTAACAGTCAGTTTTGTGATATTAACTGTAGACGAATTGGTAGGTAGGTGGGTAGGTAGATGGAGTGGCACGTAGAGGTTTCGATTCTTCAACATGCCAAGCCCGGTTACGATTTCGAACTGTACATTACTATCGCAGCTGTTAGTCGCATCAGTTTGTATTCGTTCTTTTATCGCAATACCTGTTAATGCCTTAACCATACATGCACGCGCATATATACACCTTGTCATGCACCTATGCACAAGAAGATCGTAGAAGTTTGCATTCTGAACTGCCTTACTCAATAGCTGTCCTGCGATAGTTTGTGTTTGGAAATTGGGGGTTCAAGCATGATGTTACTGTCAGGACGAGCCTTAGAGCCATCTTGATTCTCCTGCGGGAGTCTTCAGTTCGAAGTGCGGGAGTTTGCTGTCTAGTGCCGGGGCACCATGTCCGATAACCTGATAAATTACATTACAAAGTTCGTGGCTCGGAGGGGTCTTGCCGCGATTCGGTGCGAAATAGCCATAGGCACCAAGCCTCCAAAGGAACCCGCTGGAGTTTTTCGCACAGCTGGACGGCGACGATGATGGCCGCTTAACACCGGATGAGCCTGAGCTGCATTGTTCTTTCTTCGTCCCTTGGAAGATTGACAGTAAGGACATGGCAACAGGAGACTTGCGTTCTACTGGAATGTCCCAATTCAGCCGCATTCGATGAGCGTGTTCCGTTGTAGGCATTTCTGCTGTCAACCAATGGTCACGACAATGTGCCAGCCTCTACATCCTCGACATCCTAGGCATGCCTGGATATTCGTGAGAAGGAATCAGAACTTACAGTCCGGTACCTGCGGTTGTAATTAATGATCGCTTGCAGAGCCGCCAACAGCGTTCCTATGTTTTTCATGCAGATTCGCAACGAGGCGATGCTTGTAAAGCGTTGTGCCTTAAGTCTGGATGTGAAGTGCAGCAGGCTGGGAATGGGAGCACGTCCACCGCTGCCCCTGCCCCAAAACATGATCGCTTGCAGTTCCAGCCTTTGGGCACAGTGACACCGTAAATCACAAACGTGAGGTTTCAAGCCCTGTTACAGTCCTGAAGTCTGCAGACATCACAAGGAGCTGCGGAAATGTCTGCAGAGCATCGGGCTGCTCGGACATAGGACAATCATAGAACCCTTGTGTTCTGGGAGTTGGCCCTAAGAAAGAGTATGATTTCTGAGGTACCGGCAAGATTTTGGAGCTTCTGAGGTCGAAAGGCTGGAGTTCACTGGTCAAGCTTGTCTCCACAGCTTGTCTACGGAATATAAAAAGTACGAGGATGTTTTGTTGCATGGTCAGTGTTGGGGGCTCCCTCAAGAATAGGAACCACTTACAACTCCAAGAGGCCCGGTTGCTGGGATGGCTGAGACTTGCTGATGGGCTTCACGGCTTCCAGTTCACGTTTCTTCGAGGCTTCGGTGGGTGTGAAGGTTCCAGGCATATCAGGCTTCGCACACTTTGTGGAGATGCCAATGACACAAGTGCTTCCGCATGAGGTATCGCCCCACCCCCGACGAACTTCGCCAGCTTCTTGCGAGGTGCGGTTGTCAGCATCTGCACCCCAAGCCCGAAAGTGCCCAGACCCTGAGTCTTGTTAGAAACATGGCAAAACTCGAAACTGACAGCCTGCAATCCCCTCCGTCCACCTATTCGGTATTCTGGCATATCAGGGTGACAATGTCATGCATGTAGCTTTGTGCAAACAGTCAACGCTGCGTAGTATGGTTTCGTACATTCGCCGGCTTATACTGCTTTTGTATGATGCCGTGGTTACAGAAGAAATTCTGCTCGTGGCTGCAAGACACATCTCTCAGCTGAAGTTAAACTGTCCTTTGACAGCTGTGAAGAACTTTGGTTGTACACAGCTAACACAGAAAGCGTCCCCCTGTCATGCAAGACCAGAAATAAGTTTAAAAACCTTCGATACTGAATCTAACTCCTACAGCCCCCCTGTCTTGAAAGCCCTCCTTCAAGTCCTTCCTCGCCTTGGAAGGCTGGACCCAGAGCGTATCGGCAGCGTGGAGATTGCCGCGTTGGACCGCGCGGTGCGCTGGACGGGATGTTGGTTGGGCGTCGGGGCTTGGGTGTTAGGCGTGAAGGCTTCGGGTTGAGGGTTCGGAGAGGTAAAGTTTTCAGAAGTTGGGTCGAGTCTAGGTTTCGTGGTTTTGGGCTTGGAGATAGGATAGGATCCTAGATACCGCTCCGTGTAGGTGAGGTGTTTCCATGCGGTGGGTGTCGGCTTCGGGTTGCTGTAAGTGAGAGAACCTTCGGAGGGTAAAGATGTGCCAGGGCGGTTCAGACTGCGCAACTTAGACTTCAAGCAGACTCTTCTGTAGCAATCACAAAATAACGCACGAAAGCGGGATGCCAAGTGACGCTAGTGCCTCAGAGTCCTAACCAACTAAAGACTACAAACGATATGTCCCAAACCGGGCTCTCCCATCGGTCAGACATGCTCTCGTCAGACTGTTTGAGGGTTTCATGTTCTCGTCGAGCTACCAGGCAAAACTGAAGAGATGATACCGCAAGATGTAAGCACGTGCCCAGAACAGATACACGTAGAGGTGAACATATGTATCAATGTATGTATGTATTCATACTTGACTTTGTCGAGCTGCGAGTGCTAAAAAGAATATACTCATACGCATACATATGTACATAAGCACAGACACAAAGTAGCCCCGACAAAGTGATACCCGAGATCCAGGTCCGACTGGAAGCTGCTGAGCATGAGGCAAAGCTCAGGCAGCCCCCACACTTTTGAAAGTACTCGTGGTCACATTATGTAAAGCCGATAAAAGTGAAGCGTAGAGTGAAGGATGGGGTACAACAGTTTTTTTTGCATCGTGCGTCGAGATTTTACGGTTGTACAACTCCCATGCTAAATGTGGCGCAAGAGCCTCAACAGATCATAATGCTACTGCTGCATCGGCACAATATCCCCCCAAAGCCCAATTCCAAGTATGTGGGCTTGTCTGGCCTGCACCGTAGCTGAGTCATGCCTGTGGGGTCTTGCCGCGGGTGCCAGCAAAATTCACACATACATGCTGTTTGGCACACAACCAAGGCAAGGATCTACAGTGGTGTGCTGTTGACCGTAGCTAAATCCCACGTGGCATCAAGCACTCAGGATTGACCTGAACTTTGCAACCTCCTGAGAAAACTACCGCTGGCAGCGTGCATGACTCTTTCATCTGAAGCTCTATGCTGAAGCATCTAGTGAATTTCGGGCCGCCGTGGGTGTCAAAGCAAGCACCTTACAGCTGCCACCTGCGCTCCAGTGGTGCATATTGAGCTGGCTAGCGTTTACTACAGGGAAGCCTGTGCACCTCAACAGCTAGGATGGTGTAGCTGCCCCCATCAAACCGATTGCTCGTCGCAATATACTGAACAAGCATTCGCACCGTCGCCTTCATGATTATCGTCATGCGCAGCGCTGCCCCCAGCAACAGAACCTTTGCCTCTGCCTCCCTCCGTCAACATCATATCTCCGTCTTCAGACTATTATGATGGCCACACCACTCTGCCCTTCCCAAGCCCGTCCAGGCAAGAGCTGGAGCGAGCCATGCGCCGGGCGACTGGCTCCGAAGCCTTGACTTCGGTTTGAGGGCTTTGGGGGCCTGAGGGGTTCAGGGTTCGGGCTTTCGTGTTGAGAGCTTTCGAATCCAAGGCACCTGAGGGCTTCCAGGCTTTTGGTTGAAGCTTCCTGGGCTGTCGTGCTTCGGCACAGAATCAGTCCATGGACCAGTCATGAGAACGGGCCGTGCCCTCGGGCCAGGTTTGTTGGTGTAGTTTAGGGTTCTCACGTCCTGGGTTCACATAGAACCCATCCATCACATCACTATGCTGCAAGGTCGCACTTTCGTTGCCAGAGCGTGGGGTTTACCGAGCGCGGCGCTTGTCCTGGAAGGTTTCGGCGGCCGAGGGGAGGAAGCAGTGAGAGAGAGGCCTCTGTGCTTGCCTTGCTGTAGATCCCTGCATGTGGGATGTTATGGTGCTGTGCCGGACATCGAAACCGCTTTGCACAGAAGGGAAAGGCCAAGGATCGGCATGTTTTGTCGTTGTGCAACTCTTTATCTGGCTCTAAGCAGACGGTGGCGCCGAGCAAACACTCCCTCGTAAATGCACCGCTCTGCCCAAGCTGTGATTTCACTCTTTGGGATCTGCCGCAAGTACTGCCAAGTCTTCTCCAGAGTCCGGTCGCCCGGGCCCGGCATCATCGGATCACGGCCTCGAGGGATCGGTGCCCTGTCAAACTGGCAGGGGAGCTACAAGTCGCGGAGACAAGCAGAAGACGTGAACTTTTCCAAGTCTTCGTTCGACAGGTCTCCGGAGATCTCTTCAGCAGCACTCCGAGCGCTGGTGCGGAAGATCGAGGCTCGAAGTGTCGATTATGAATTTACATTCGTACACATGCAGACTTCCGATATAAGACCTGGTTTTACCAGCTTTGGTAGAGATACTACAGGACAAAAATGGCCTCGTTCGTACCGTCCAGAACATGGCAACAGGCACTGCGGAGTCGCAATACTGTTATCAGCGCTAGCAGCCAGCACACACGTCGTTGAGGATCTGAAAGCTGGTGCCGTCAACCGCCCTCCCACCTCCTCCCCTCCCTGTCCGGCTCCTTTCCTTGCATATTCTGTCCATTTCTTTCCTACGCATGATGCCGCTCCTGTCCCTCATATTCTATCTTTCTAGCTCCCAAGTCTTCTAAGTATGCCAACTCTCGCACGACTTTGTTAGTCACCATATAGAAGCCACGAAGTTATGGCAGCTATGGTCCACCGTCCTGGAGATTTGAATGTAAACAGTGTGCCCGCAACGGATTTCGCCGACATTCGTGTGGAATCACATCCCTAAATCCCTAACGTAGCTGCAAGCAGGCAGCGCAGATGCAAGTCGGCGAGCTGCCGCTTCGCTGTTAATGGTGGTTTAGGATCATGCCTGCATGGGGCCCTACATGCGCCCCTCATGTTTGTTTGGACCCCGTGTGCTCTTCAGCTTCGTTTATGCTCTTTGCAAACCTGCGGGGCGAGTAACCAAAGCCTGTTAAACTGTTCCTCTTGCATGTCCCAGAAGCCGGAGCCACCAAGAGTCAAGGCATGTTGAGTTTCACCAAGGGCGAAAATGCTGTGAAATAGCACAGTAGTAGCACTCTGAGACATCAAGATGCAGCAGCCCGCTTTATCGTCGTCGCTGTGGTTGTTGCTGTTACTGCTTGTCTTGCTGTTCGGCTGTTTTAGTTAGCTTTACGGCTGGCCCTATCATCGATAGATCCATGTCGGCATCCCAGGTTCCGCAAGTTTGACGTGGATGAGGACGGCTTTTGGTCCGTCTCGGAGCTTGGCGCCCTGGCAAGTGCAGCACGGACTGGCTTCCATGACGATACATTAACCTATGCAACATCCCCATAGAACGGCTCGAAGCACAGGAGTTGCACGTGCTACCCAGTCCCAATGCAAGAATTTCTGTCGAAAGGGCTTAGAACAATTCAAAGAACAAAAGCACGCTGCTCGAAATCGAGTAGAGTCGAGTGTTTCAGATATAGCGACAAACCGCTCGAAACGGACCAGCGTTTTTTCAGAAAGAGCAGCCAACCGCTAGAAAGAAATCAGCACATCTGCGCTTGAAAGTGCTTAGAGAGTTCCACAAAGGAGTCTACCGCTCTAAATGGAGCAAACGACTTCCAAGGACTAGCGTTGGAAAAGGCCCGGCCAAGCGCACGAACGAACCGCTCGAAATTTGACCCATCGAGACAGAGCAACAACCCTGTCGAAAACACAGGGCCTCGAAAGGAACTGACTAAAGCGATTGGCAAAGCAAGAGCAGCGAGTCGCTGAAAGAGGCGGGCAAACCGTCGGTTCGACAACGAGTAGATTGTTTGATAACAAGCAGCAAACCGCTCGAAAGTGACCGGTGCATTTCAAAACAGGAGCAAACAGTCGAGGGCATAAGAACACTCGACGCAGAGCAGCAAGCCGCATGAAAGGGACCACTCGTAGAGCATCGTGCAGCGGAGCAGCAGACCCTTTGAAAATGAGACGCGTATTTCAGAAACGAAGGGAACCGTTGGGAAGGAATTTGGGCATGTGCGATGAAAGCAAAAACCGCTCGAAAAGGATTAGAGTAATTCCGAAGATGCAGAGAGCTACCGTAGAGAATTCAAGAAATAGTTGCACTTCCTATGCTGCTACGTAGTCACTTATGTTGACACCTCGAAGTGGTTCGTTGCTTCTCTCAGCAGCCTTACATGTCACTGTCATGCTTCAAACAAGCAATGCCACCGTCATCCTCAGGAAGCATTTAAGCCCTTTAACCTTGTCATGTTTGTTGGAGGATGTTTGAGACCTACAGTTCCTGCAATGCTACAGGGCCTTACTAATTCGAATAGGGATGTGCGGGCCATTATAAAATAAGGAACCCCAAAATAGTATAGGTAAGTATTTCGGGCTTTCCTATCGTATCCTTGTAGTAGCCCGTATATGGAACCCTTTCAAGGAACCCTAAAATAGTATAGGTAGTTATTAAGGCACTTACTAGCCGTTCATCCGAGGAGACGCCCTGGCCTTCTCGGGGCACCCCCCATCTGACGCCGATCTGCGAGAGCTGATGGATTTGAGCCCCGTTCAAGTTTAGCTATGGACTCCCACTTCTCCGAATGTGCTGGGTTAGAGGATTGCGAATCTACAGCTGAAGGAACCGCTTTATGGTAATCAACACAGCGGATTCTTCGTCTTCACTTGGTTTCGTGTTGTGCCGGGTTTGCCGTTGTGGAGGTCTGCAGTGTGGCCAGTGGGTTGCATGTTGGGTGTGTTCTTCCCGAAGGTCGCGACATCTGACTTCGCGCAAAAAGGATGTTAGAATGAAAGCCCTAGGGCCCTAGGGTTTCTCATTGGCAGCACAACCGACTGCGGCTGAGGATGGATTTGGATCTCAATGGCTTTGTGGTCATGGGCTCAGCTGCTACTGCTTCGAGTGGCATGCTGCAGCCCCGCTCCTGAAGATTATCCATCTTTACACATACGTACATACTTACAGATACTTAGCCAGGTAGGTAGCGATGGATGCAAAGCGACAACAACCATAACATGAAATCTGACAAGGACGGAGGACAACCGCAACAGCATGACGGTGAGAGTGTTCCTTTGCCAGAGCCCTCCAGCCTGCGCCCAGGACCTGAAGGAACTGTTCCGGGCCCTTCGCCGGGGTGGCCTGGAAGTCGGAGCGGGTCTAAGCATATTCCGTCGAAGTAAGCTCCTCTCATGCAGCAGACTGCAGCCGGTAATTAGCCGGCAGAACCAGGCAACAGGTGCCGAACTTGACTGAAAAGCGGCACAGGAAAAGTACAGCACTTGTCCATGGCTTCCCCCCGGTATCCCAAAATCCTGCACGAGTTACAACATCGCGAATATGTCATGTCGCGCTATTCACTTCGGCCGCCCTTGTCTAGCCCGCGGGTCAGCGCAAGATGGTAGCCAGGGAACTGTGGGGAGGTTCAAAGTGATGCATCAACCGCAGTTCATGTTGGGATTTATTCCGCCTGTGCCACAGGAGCCCAGCGTCGTGCCGGCAGCCGAAGTCCCGACAGTGCAGAGCTGGCTCAGGTGCTGGAGCCGTTGGCCTGCAAGCAGCCGAGGGGGTTTCAGTTTGGAGCAATCCAAACGGTGAAAGTATGATGTGGATAGATAGATAAACAAATAGAGCAGCGGCGATCACGACTTTCACATTAGGTTGCAGAGCCGGGCAAAGGTTTTAGCAGCATGTGGGCACCTACTGAACCAGGCTGCCTTCTCCCGAGACCATGCGCGAGCTCACCGCGAATGCTGTGACTCAGCTTACGATTTAAACCCTAAACGACAGGGCAGTACAAAACTTGGCGATCACCCTTTCATAGAAGACTCTTGACTGCCATCCTTTCAAGGGCTCGGTTCCAGGCTCTGTAAGAAGGAGATCCTGGGTAAGACGAGATCATGCTTCAGGACATTGCGCTCGTCACGAGCAGGCGGGATCCTAGGCGAAAGCAGTCCCAGCGAAAGGCAGGCCATGAGACCCTGCCTAGTTCCCGTCAGCAGACTTTCTGTTGCAGTTCTCTAGGTCTCTACTTATGAAGGCCGCTCCAAAGCACCGAGGCATCCCTTGAACTTCCGCCAGATCTCAGGTAGAAGAACCTCCGAAACCGATCCTAGCCTATTCAGCTCCGGCGGAAGATGCGGGCAACTTAGTAAACCCGAATGAAATGATTTCATAGATGCCCCCTCAGTTTTCAGTTTTCAGCCAGCCTGAGTAGCCCGAAACGTACACTGAGAGGTATCCGGGTAAGAGTTCTTTTCGAGGCCCTTGTAGCCATCTACGAGCTCCTGGAGATGAACAAGCTGCGGACCATCGACTTCATCCGACTCATCGACCGTTGCTCGGCCTTTGTGCACACTCTTTGGGGGGCAGGAGGTGAAAGCTCCGGAGCTTTCTTTGGGGTACAGTCGCGGAGATGACAAACTCTAGGTTGGGAAGGGTTCTATTTTGGAGCGGCTTGGGGTCCTGAAGAATTGGATCAGTGCTGTTGGGTTGGAGAAGTTTCCGGCGATTCGATGGGAGACTTCGCAAAACGTATTTATCCTAGCGGCCCTGTCTTCTTCCCACACTGCATGTTTTCCGTTCATGCTCATCCGGGACCAGAAACACTGCTTTCCGAAATAAGCCGGGCCCCCAATCAGATGCTCAAAAAGCCCAGGCGACAGCGACGCCCACCTCGCACCGGCAGAGCTCCGGGAAGGTACCATGGCTTGGTGAACACAACCAGCAAGCTCGGATCTTCAGAATTTGGTTAGTTTTCTAAAGTTCGGATTCCGTCTTTGTCCCCCAGAGAGTGCATCTCTCTTACTGCGAGGGGATGCCTTCCTAATTCAGAGCCGCCTCCACGTTCAAGCTCTCGCCATGGGGAAAATTCTGGCATAAATGACATCATCTTTCCCTTCAGCGGCATCACCATCGTCATCACCTTCATGTGTTTGGGGGACAGGGTATTTAGGGTTTGGTTTGGAAGAGACGGCTTTTGAGTGTCAGGCTAAAGCGAAGGCCCTTCAGTGATCGACATGTGTGTAAGCTTGGATATACTGATGGTGTCTCTGCAGTTCTTTTGGCATTCCTGCAGCGCAAGCAGATAATGGGCATGAATGACTTTCTCTTGTAATCCATATGTCTGTTGACAGTTATGCCAACAAGCGCAAGAGTTGAAACATTTGAAAGGACTTTTCAAGCTGGGCTACGAGATCAGCGCTGAAGAGCTGGATGCACTGACGGAGCTTCTAGATGCAGATGGCGGGATGCCCAGTCACGACACGAAGCCTTTGCACCGATACGCAATGGCACTTGTCAATGCAGATGGACACCAACAGACGACACGAAAACAGAGCATGACATTGATGATAAAGCCGTTTCCGCTGACTAGGCCGGTGATGATGGCCCTGTTGAAGACGCTGATGACCATGCATTCGATCGCAACATGAACACACACAGGACAGTGCAAGTCAAGACAACAACTGTTACTGCTACTACTGCAACCAAAGGACTGATGACAGCGATACACCAAGAGCAGCGAAAAGCACTGTGGGAATCAGTAAGGAAGTGGCTCCATCAGTGTGAAGGAGCTCGACCGGTGCGTAAAGAAGGTGTCTCGGGGCAGCCTTTGGAAGTGCATGATGCCGCGGTGTCTAGCACTTTTGCAGGGCCTTAGAAGCGCTTCATCCGAGCTTTGAAAATGGTGCACACACGACCGCTTGGCCAACGGAGTCGGAGGCGGCGCTGGATGCCCTGGAGGCAGCAGCACAGCGCGTGATGAAGGCAGGATGTCGGGAGGAACCTGCTCGTGAGAGCTTTGCAACTCTGCGATTGCCGAGGACAGTCCACAGGAGTCCATCAGCGACGTGCTGCATCGTGTCAACACGGCCCTGCAGTCGGGCAAACTTACAGTATCCTGGCTGCGCAGAGAGACTTTTAGCATTCCTGAGTTGGCACGGGCGACCCCAAACTCATGGCCAGAAGCTGCAGGTGTATGGGCGTAAGATTCACGACGCGCACAGCCACTCGGCCATACACCGTAAACCCGGTGACCTGATGCAAACATGTCATGCACGCTGGGCGAAGTACCACTACTTGATGTGCGAGCCTGTGAAAGAAGCCTGTGACAACCGTCAGGCCGCGACCTTGCCCAGTAAAGCTGCAGCTGTGAACGCCTGGGGCAAAGAACTATCACAGGTCTTCGCTTCATCACAGGTCTTCAACAGTCTCTAGTACCATAACATGTCCTAAAGCCTGAATCCCCGCACCAAGAAGCTTGATCCGCAATTAGCCCTGTTGCAATGGCTGCCCTAGCTTCGAGCCATATTAGGCTTCTTCAAGGCGATCGACAAGGACCCGCTTCAGCACAAGATACGGACGACTCGGACTCGGGGCCCCTTAAGGGCTTTTTAGGGTTTAAGTACAAGAGCAACAGAGAGAACTGACCAGGGAGCTGCAGAAAACGGAAGAGATTAGAATAGATGACAAGATCGGAGTAATTTCTGAGGTGCATACTTGCGAAGATGCATACTTGGGCGATAAAGAAAAGATGATCCTGGTAGCCACAAGAACTATTTTGGAATTGCAGTCTGCATGCAATGAACCAGCAGAGTGCAAATTCGTGGACATGGAGCTTGCCTCACTGATATGGGTAGTTTTGACAATTACGCTCCCTTTTGTGAGTCCCTAATTTAATACGGCACCTACTAATTTTCCATATACCCTTTATATAGCCCCTTATAGGGTAGGGGTCCCCATTAAGGGTCCCTCCTTTTCCCTTTTGATATTTAGGGCATCCAAACAGGGACCCTAATTCTGACAACGACCCATATCCCCAAAACCAGAGTTGGGGGGAGACCCAGGGCTGCAGAGACCCCACAAACTCCTCAAATCATATTATAGGGATCCTACTATAAGGTAAGGTATGTTCCTTAGCTAAGGGATATTGGAGTCTCTGGGATTACCTCAGAATCTCCAATATCCTTCCTAGTAGTCGAGTAGGTAACCTTTAGCCTTTTTGGGGTTGCATAGCCGCTATATAATCCCTATATACCCAAAAATGTTAACCTCTAGTTCCCCAGGATACCCGACAAGTAGGCCTTTAATTAAGGAACTCTACCTTAAATCATCCTTGGGATCCTTTGGTTAAGGAACTATACCCTAAATCATACTTGGGATCCTTTGATTAAGGAACTATACCTTAAATCATACTTGGGATCCTACTATAATTTGAGGTATGTTCCGTAACTAAGGGATATGGGAGTCTCTGGGATTATTGCAGGACGGAAGTGGGGCCCTGGATCCCTCGGAGATTCAGCGGGGCTTTCGCCGCCTCGGCGTGACCGTGCCGCTTCCGGCCGCAAAGAGTCTAGCGAGAAGTTTAGGGAAAAGGGCTTAGGGTTTAGAGTATGGGTTTGAAAGCTTTGGCTTGAGTGTGAGGGGTTGAGTGAAGGGGTCTAAGGGTTGAGGGTTCGGGTGAAGGAGCTTACTAAAGGTTGGAGTGTAGGATGCCGGGAGTAGAGGCTTTGTGTAGATAAACTTCTGGTTACCAGTACGTTTAACGTGTAAAGTACGCGGTTGTCCGTTTTGGGAATCTCTGGCTCTAGCTCGGGTGCTGCTGGGGTGTTTGCAAGTCTTTACATTCGTTGAGGTGTTTGCCCTCTACTTTGCAGTTTGTGCATTTGCAAGCGAGTGTTCTGGTTCAACGATATTGCCAAGGTCAGACGCTCTTTTGCAGCAACTTACGGACGCGATGGACACCAACGAAAATGGCAAAATAGAGCCTCTCCGGCAGAGTATCTTGCGATTTGCCGGCACCCTGATATCTTGCCTGGCTTCACGACCGTTTCGTTGTGCTCATTTCCAACGGTCAGCTGCAAGACGAGTCGCATGTAGCGAGTGCCGTGCATGCACTGTTAAGTCAGCACGGGCTTGACCGAGAGTTCACAGTCCATGCAGGCAGTGGAGACCACGGAATTCGAAATGTCCCCTGCATTGTGTTTGCAAACACGACAGCATGGGTAACAAATTAGGTGCAAAGAACCGTCCGTAGATTTTGGAACAATCAGTGAGTGTGCCACGTCTTTGTGCCCTTAACCCTAAATTCCACAAAGCCCCAAAGAAACCCTACTAGTAACGCAGACCCCTGATGAATACATCCCCCCTATATACTTGAACAGGGTTTACAGTACGAATCCTACAGGGCCCTTCGAGAAATGAGTTTATCCATCAGGGGTTGACTTTCTCCTAGCCTTGAAGGAACTCAGCGAGCTGGTCCATGCGCTGCAGAATCCCCAAGGTCGGCCAAGTAGCATTTGCAAGGACTGCTGCTATCATAATATGTGGGTTGGTATTTTACAACTATACTAGTTTACTAGCATTTATCTGTTTCTATGAGCACAACTGCGAAGCACTGATGGAACACAGCTAGGAGAGTGGCTGGCCACCACAAGTCTGCACTGCAAATTACAGGTTCGTGCACGAGGTGTTCAATTCAAAGCTCCCAAACGGCGAAGTTAGCATTCCTCGGCGATGCATTTCTAGTCTGCTGTACATGAGTGACAGGGAAGCACATTCCAGCTTCCACCAAGCGTCACCTAAGTCCAAAACTCTAGGAGAACTCCCCTACGGAGTTAATTGACACATCTCGGAAGTTCCTTGACAATCCGAGCTTCAGCAGACAGTGCCATTACCTAGTAAGCGTGCTGTTACACACGACGAGCAAAACTTACTTGCTACAATCTATAACCAATAGCAACGCGACAGTAACAGCAAGAGGACGACGCAGAAGATTGTTTGTTTCTGAGACAACTCTGGAGCATGGTCCAACACGAGCATCTCCAACGCCTAAACCCCAATATAGGGGCCTTAATAATTAGAATCGGGCTTTTGGGCCCTTTATATTATAATTCTACTAAGGAACCCCAAAATAGCATGGTAATTATTTAGGCCCCTATAGTACACCCTACAATTATGACCGCCGATCAGCCATCCAAGTAACATGTACGGAAATCGCGATAATGCATATTTTCCCAACATTTGAGAATGCATATGCGGCAACATGTAAATGCAAGAATGCATATCTTCGAATGCATATGTGGCAACTTGCAAATCCAATAATGCATATTCTCCGGTTGCAGATCCGAGAATGCATGTTTGCGAATGCACATTCAGCTATGACTGCGCATGCTGCCTCCGTGGTTCACGTGTCAGAGAGGCAGCCTCTTGAGTTGTAGGTAACCTTTGCCTGCATCCAACTTTCAGCACATAATCAGCTGTATCACGCAGGCGCGCCTTTGGCTTATCTGTAGGCTACGCGACATAGTGCTTCTAAAGGAAGCTTGCTTGAAGCCATAGGCTCGGTGCGTGGTCAGTGGACTGACGACAGAGCGACCGTGACGGCCGCAACCGGAAAAGCAGTGACCTCGTTCTGCAGGCCTACGGGGCCATCGGCTTTTGCATCTGTGCTGTGATCGAGCGGTGAGGCTTCCAACACACTTGTGTTGGTAGCGGAGCTCGTACCAGCGGCTGGGGAGCTCAAGGCTGTGTTGGGTAGCTTCGCCTACGTGATACAGTACCTGGTTCCGGGGCCTGATCCCGCAGGGAGATTGAGAAGGCACGAGCCCTTTTACACGATCCTGCAGTATGGCTTCGCATGAGACTCCCGACAACAGAATTCGATGTGCTTGGAATGGCGACCCGGCTACCTATCCGGATTTCATGAGGCGAGTCCGCCTCTCCTTTGAGCGGACACCCAGAAGGAAGCGTCACCTTCTTGGTCCTGAGGTGGTGGCCCAGCTTACCGAGCGGGCATGGGTCATTACTCAAGATTTGGATCACCGGATGCTGGTCCGGAGAAATGGCGTCATCTACTTGCTCGAGTACCTCCGCGAGCGGTTAGGCCGCACCCCGGTGCCAGATATCGGCACCCGTCTCGAGAACCTGATCTTGCGCATCCGCCGTGTACCAGGCCAGAGCATGTCAACTTGGTCAAGCCAACTGCGCTATCACTACCGACAGCTCCAGGTGGCTTTGGGACGGGTCCGAAAGGACCAAGGTGATCCAGCGGCTGCAGCGGCAGCCCCCTCGACCTCGTCGCCTTCTACTTCGAGGCCAACCCGATCTTCGCCTCCCTCAACAAGCTCTCCACGTCGGGCCTCGCGAGAGACCCAGGAAGAACCTCAAGGCGAAGATGATGCTGGTGATGGGGAGGAGACCGTGGGCCCTCCTGAGGACGACAGGGAGGAGCTCCTTGAGGACGACGAGGTTCCTGGAAGATCTTCTCCGTCGTGGCGACGTCGTGCCAAGCGCTCACCGAAGGCAAGGGATAGCGACTCTGATGAAAGTGCCCTGGCTCTGGAGGATCTCGCCCTATGGGATCGTTATGACGAGCACTTACCGGATGTGCTCCCGAGTGAAGCGCTGGGATGGCTTCTGCTGCGTCGAGCAGGAATCTCCCACCAAGCCAGCCTGGCAGTCCAGTCGGCGGCAGGGAATTCCCTCCGTCTTGATGATATCGAGAAGAGCTTGAGGGCCATGGAAGACGAGATCCTCTCCCAAGAGCTTCGACCGCGAGGAGGACCGGGTCACCATGGAAAGGGACGAGGCCGGACCTACTGGGTGGAGGAACAAGGAGAATGGTCCATGTGGCTTGGGGACAGCATGGACCTTGACGAGCTCTTTGATGGTGGCGAGGTGCACTACGTGGGGAAGCAGCTTCCTGCCCAAGTCCATCCAGTTTCTCCTCCTGCTCCGGAATACTCTGATGAGTGGACCTACTATGGAAGCGGCTGGGAGGACTACTACCCGGACGAGTGGAGCTATGAGGACCCTTCAGCCGCTTGGTGGTATGATGATCTTCCCCAGGAACAGCAGAAAGAGCTGGAGGAGGCCTATGCAGCGGTGGACCAGAAGGCTCGGAACTTCGTTGAAGCTCGGCAAGCGGTGAAGGCTCGAAACCTTTCAAGGGGATTCTACCCCTTCACGCCATCCATCAAGGGCGGCTCCTTCAAGGGAAAGAAAGGAAAGGGGAAAGGAAAGCCAAAGGGAAAAGGCTTTGGTTTCCCTTCCTCCTCGTCGGCTTCCTCTAACCCCATCCTGGCGGCCTCTGTGGCTTCTGGACTACCTGGGCGCGATGATGATGGGAGTGGGTTCCTTGGAGCCGCGGTGGGCGACCCTTCGTACACCGGCTGTTTCATCTGTGGCAACAAGAGCCACGACTTCCGCCACTGCCCCAAGAGACAGTCGAAAGGGGGAGGCAAGGGTGCCGTCCATTTTGCCTCCGAGGTGGCCACCATCTTCTATGGCGACTCCGTGGAGCCTGAGTACGTGCCATCCTCCGTCTATGCGATTGAGGAGGACCCCAACCGGGATGCGATCTACTCCCAGGACGCCTCGGAGGACCTCTCTGGATATGCAGTCCTGGACTCTGGGGCTACCGAGACGGTGGCTTCGCTTCCAGCGCTGGAGGCCCTTATGAGAGTGCGGGAGAGATCCACGTCGCAAGCTCCTTTTCAGGTGGTTGATCAGGCTCCCAAGAAGTTCAAGTTCGGGAATGGGGAATTCGCCGTGTCGTCTTCGTTTATTCTTCTTCCACAACAAATAGGGGATCACCAAGTGGACCTGGGAATCTTTACACTGGACGTTGTAGGTGTCCCCATACTCATAGGCATCAAAACCATGATGAGACTGCATGCCTTGGTGGATTTCGCCCATTGTCGTGCGGTGTTTGCCTCTGTTGATGCAGGCCTGGTTGTTCCCCTGAGACGCAGCAAGTCGGGTCACCTTCTAGTGAGTCTGAAGGACAATTGGTTGCAACAAGGCCACCGATTAGACTCCTTGACCCGGCAGCCGGATCTTCTCCCTTGTCTTTCAAAAGAAGGGCCCGCCAGCAGTTTCATGGTTCAGGATGATCAAGAGTGTGATGCGGTTCCACAGTCAGTTCATGCAGTTGACGATCTGAGTGCAAGCATTTGTCTGCATGATCCTCCAGTGACAGAACCTCCACCTGAACCCAGCCCAGGGCATGTATTGACGGCTTCGACTTCGTTGCAGCCTTCAGCAGTTCAAGAAGTAGGGTCTATGAGGGCCCTGACGGTGCTTACCTCCCTCTTAGCACTTCATGGCCAAGGCGGCAGCAGCTTCAAAGTCGAAGACCAAGAAGGTCAGCGATCCCTTGGACGAGGAGAGATCAGAGGGCCCGGACCCTCGGGACCCACGGACCCGTGGGGCCCCATGTCACGGCAACCACCGAGTGGCCAAGGGCTACAAGGGAAGTGTGACCGGCTCGAACCAGTACGGGAGCTGGACCGGATGCGAAGTATGCAAACTTCGCTTGACGTACACTCCTCGGATGGGTTGCCATGGCATTCACCGCAAGAGCGCCCCACTGGCCAAGGATGTCTCCGATGCTCTTCAAGAACTTCCTCCCAACACCGAGTCCTATCCGTCGAACCGGGAGATCTCCTTGACGGCAGCCGAGAACTCTGCGCTAGCCCGCCTGGAGAGTCTACGCCGTCTTCGCAAGGGAGGAGGGCGTTCCACTCTCGCGGAGGACACCAAGGGAGCGCGCAAGATGCCACCAGGGGACCACTTGAAGAACCAGGACCAGATCGCCGAGACCACCGGGGACCAGTTGAAGAACCAGGACCAGATCGCCAAGACCATTGGGGCCAAGGTCATCGAGGTGCAGGACGAGAGCAAGAGCCATCCGTCACAAGGTTCAAGTCCACTCTCCCCTGGAACGATTGTGGTGGATCCCGAGGAGCTTCCACCACATCCCAGTCGAAAGGCCTCGAGACCAAGCTCCACGATTCCCGAGCAGCTGGAGGGCGAGACCTGAACAATGACACCGAGGACCAGGCCCACTTTGTCAAGCTGTTGAACTCCCTGGAGGTAGAGTCTTTTGCGGAGTACCTCCTGGATCTGGAGTCCTTCGATTACCAGTCTATGGAAGAGTTGATCGAGGTGATGCAGCCCCGGAGGTTTCAAGAGGGAAGAGCCGCCACTACACGGGATCGGAAGTACGGCTTCGCCATGGTGTTTGGCCTGTACGCCCACGGCAACTACTATGGGGTGACGCGAGACTCTCTTCACTACCCTTCCACCAGTCGGTTCTTTAATGAGTGCTTCCGTCGCCTACCCGCCTTCAAAGATTGTCGTTGGACCTCTCTCAGTGTGCTGGTGAATATGAAAGGCCATATGCACGTGGACGCCCACAACGCCTCAGATTTCAACAACCTGGCACTTGGATTGGGTCCTTACCAAGGAGGCGAACTGTGGGTGGAGCACCGAGAAGGA